TCACCACCTGGGTAAGTGCCTTCTAGTTTTCAAAGTGCTTTCCCACCGCCATCTTCACTCACTCGCCCTAGACTCCCCCGTGAGCATCTGCTAAGCCTGGATTTACCCTCAGCCACCACCCACTTTAGGGTAACACCAACCGCATCCCCGAGAAATGACTGGCTTTTCCAGGGTCGCACGTAGGAACGCAGCCAGGAGAGGGTGGAGTACATACACATTGGGTGGGCCGAAGCTGAGGAGGGCAGGGGCAGTTGGAGGAGAGCCCTGGGCCCCGCGCGCCCGCGCTGGAAGTCAGGCGGTGACCAGGGCCAACAAAGGAACTGGGTTTCTTGTAAATAAGCACAGAGAAACCCCAACCACCAAAGCTTGCAAAACCTTTATTTTCCTCCCTCCCTCTTCCTGATTTCATCTCAGATGGTGGGGGTGGTGGATAGAGGGAGGAGAGGGCAGGACAGACAAGAGCTGTGGCCGGCTCCTTAGCTGGGCACTTGCTTAAGGAGCAGGACTCGGCTTGCTCACTGCAGGCCAGCCCGAACGGGGTCAAGGTTGTGGGTGCATCCCACGGTGGGTTACTTCGTGCTCCGTCCACGACTACACACTTGGTCCCCTGACGCTGGCCTTCAGTCTCTTAAATACACACCGCCGGTCACGTGGTGGGCCGTGCAGATTGGCTGCTTGACGACTATTAGATGGAGGAGGGGCTGTTTTTAAGTGGAGGGTACAGCTGTTCCTGGGGTAGTTTCCATTTTGTTTGTGGTTGTGGGGGAGGGGTGTTGGAGGAGTAGGAAATGGCATGAAGGAAATTGTCACTTCCTTTCCAGAGAATTCCAGAAAGGTTTCCTGGAGGACAGGGTATTTCAGGAGAGTGGGCTCTGAGGGGAAGAGGAACCAGAGGGGAACTCTGCTTTGTGGCCCGGCCGGCCCACCATCTGGCCCCCATGTTTCCTGGCGTGTGTGACAGTGCCACGGGTGTGAGAGCAACTCTGTGAGAGTCATCGGCTCAGCTGAATGGGTGTAGATTTAAACTCCATGGAGATGGTGGACGTGGCATTCACATAGGGGCTGTTTCTCAGAGGAGGCCCAGAGGGGCGGGTGCTGGGCCCCACCTGACGTGCTCCAGTGACAGCCCCAGGAGGGTCTGTACATCTGAAGGGGCCCAGCTGTGGTGACGCAGGAGTAGCCAAACCACTTCTATTTTGCTGTTTTGGTTTTGAAATGCAGTCTGAACCACAGAGAGCAAGAGGTGTGCATTTGCAGGCGGGGGTTGCAGGCATCCTCGCTTGCTCCTGCCTGCACAGCACGCGCGCGCACGCTCCCACCCACACCCAGCGCACATGCACACACGCACAGACCTGCGCACTCGGCAGCTGGGGCGGGTGCTGCCACCGAGGCTCTGCTGGCAGCCGAGTGGGGCAGGCCCTGGGAGTCAGGGGCCTTGTAGCGGCCTCGCGGGAGTGGAGGGAGGGGGCTTTTGCCACCTAGGAGAGTGGACTTTGACTGGGCTAGCTGTGAGCTGTGCACCTACATGCTGGGGTGTGGGGAATCCACCCCCCACCCCCGTTACTAAGGATTCCCAGGCACCTCGATCATTGGGGCCCAGTGTTTGTGTGCACCCTGGGGCCTCCCACTCGTCAGCCAAGCATTGTCCAGGGCTCTAGAGCCTGGAACTGTGTCCCAGTGCATCTGTTAGGGAGGGGCCCCGGTGGGCCTCTCTTGCCTCCAACAGGGTGGTGGCTTCTTTGGTTTGGGTTCCCGGGAGAGGAAGGTTATTTTGATGGGGGGCGGTTCACTCCTCTTGACAGGGAGAGTGAGTGAATATGCAAAGTAATGAGCTTCTCCCTACCTCTCACTTTCAAATCCTCAAACTTCGAGGGGGAGGGGCAAGACTCTCTGGACTGGAAGGTTCTTTGGGGGTGGGGTGGGAGGGGAGTTTTCTTAGCCTTGGCCAAGACAAGAGGACAGTTACTTCCTTCCGCTACATATACCCCTTCACCTAGCTTCAGCCTCAGCTGAGGGCTGAAGGGTTCAGCCTTGCCTTCTGGGTGCAGCCTCACAGTTCTGGGCCAGTGGAACCAAGTCCTGAATTCAAATACTTAGGTGGACACATAAAAGCCTGCACCAAAGTCACCGATTCTGAGCTCGAGGACTCCTCTTTATGTCAATAAGAGGAAATACCATGGCCGCACAGTCCGGCCACCCCCACCCCCAGCAGCTCCTTGCCAACTGGCCGGGGAGAGTAGCTCACCCCTACGGACCCAAGGGGCACAGACATATTCTGTTTCTGCTGCCATTCTCTTCCTGGGAAATGTGTGACTGAATTTTGTGGGGGTGTAGAGCCGTGGCCACACGCTCAGCCCCAGAACCCTGGGTCCTGCCCCAGCCCACCCCCACCTTGACCACAGCCTCTTGGAGAGGACATTAGGCATCAGCTCTCGTCTTCTCATGAAGGCCAGCCTGGAGGAGGAGGAAACAAGACTGAGCTCGTGGCTCCACCGGCCAGCACATGGCAGCCCTTTCACACACAGAGGCTGTCACGCACCTGCCCCCGCACTCGGGCCACATGGACACACCCTGCACCCCTGTGTAACAGTGGTGTGCTCCATCCGTGCAAACGCAGACAGCACAGCAGGGCAATCCCAATGCAGGACTACCCCGTGTAACAGCCCACACGCTCCTCTCGTCCAGCGACACCCGCCCCACATGTGAGCCGTGCTCACGTGGCTACTCTCGTAGCCCAGAAAACACCTCCTTGGCACTACCATCTGTCCACCCATCCACCCCTGACCAGCCATCAGTGTGTTCCATGGACAAGCAAACAGTGGTCCCCACCCTCAACTAGGCCACTTTTTTTTTTTTAAAAGATTGGTTATTTCTGCATACAGAACTGGGGTACAGGCCAGAGGTGCAGGGGCGGCGAGAGGCTTCACCAGAGACAGAGTGGGGAGCAGGACAGCAGATCTATGAAGTACACTGCTGAGGGAGCAGCGGGCACTTTTTAATGGGGGGAGTAAAGCAGGTGCACAGAAGTTCCCCGGGGCTTGGGAGCACCCGGCAGCGAACTCACACACAATACAGACTGCGGCCAGATCCGTGACCAGCCAGAGATGAGGGGCCCTGGCAGGATGACCTGGTTGGGGTGGGGAGTAGACACAGTTGTTTCGAGTTTAGGCAAAGTGGGATTAGGTGAAAGTGATCACGTTTCATTTGATTAGCTTGAGAAGGCTTCTCAAGGCTGATAGGCAGCCTGCAGGAGAGTAGGAGCTGCGAGTGTGGGCCTTGGGGCGCCGTGACGGGGGAGACAGACCTTCCAAGCATAACTGGCCCTGAGCAGCTTCAGAGGCCAGAAGAGCCAGGTCATTTGCAGGGGCCAGTGGGGAGGGGGAGGGGCCCCAGCCAGACAAGGCCTGTGCCTTTTCTGCCTCTCCGTCCCAGCCAGACTGTCTTAACAGCCAAAGGGACCTGACAGGTTGAGTTGAGTGACTTCTCAAAGTTTTTTTTTGTTGCTGGGGATGGGTAGAAAGGTGTGGGGTGGGGGTGGGGAGAGGGTGGAGCCAGTCCTGTGGGCTAACGGAAAGGAAGTGGGAGAGGCCTGGGTGTCTCCTGTGGGGGAGAGCGGTCATCAGGGAGGTCACCCAGGCTCCCCTCCCTCCTCTCCTCTTTGCCCCTCTCTGAAGTTCCTCATTTCTTTCTGGGCCAGGAGAAGGTTTGGCCACCCTGGCACTGCCATGGACACTGGAGGAGGTAGGGGGTCAAGTGTGTCACTCTGAGGATGGTGTGATGACCCACGTCTTCCGGTGATCACATGAACTGGCTGATTTTAGACACACCACTCACACAGACCACCAAAACCGGAGCCCTAAGGCCTAAAGATGTAGCGGTGGGGAAGCCCTTTTGGGGGCAGAGGAGCAGAGCCGGCGACAGGCAGGAGGCCTGGGTGGGGGGAGCAGCAGGCGTGTGACGGCAGACAACATGCAAAAGAGCAGCTGGCAGAGGAAATGATCGCAGGCCCCGGGTGTCGTGTGAGCCCTGAGGTGCAGACTGAGTGTGAGAGGCATTCCGGGAGAGGAGAGACATGTGTGGGCCGCAGTAGACAGATTTCCTGGAAGGGGGGGTGCTGTGCGTGGGGCCCAGAGGAGAAGGAAGGTTCTGAGGGCCCTTCCCCCCACCAGGGCTCTCCTCACAAGTTCCCAGGGTGACAGTTCAGTCTTGAAACTGAAAGCAAAGCTGAAGCAACAGCAAACCCACACGGTACAGAGGCCATCCTCTCCCGTGACCAGCGGGAGTCGGCAGGGTGATGACTGGGCTGGCCCACCTGTTCTCGTCTCCTGGTTCTCCAGACACAGAGCTGAGCCTGAGGGGCCTTTCCTCCTCTAGGTCAGTCAGATGGTGGCTGGGTCAGACATGGCTCCCCTCTATCCCCAGTGAGGCAAGTCTTCCCCTGGAGATTCTGCCCTGCAGAGCTAAGTGACCCCCACCCCCTAGGGAAACTGAGGCAGGCAGTCTCTAGAAGAACAGCTTATTCATCCACAGCCCGGCCCCCCACTCACAATGCCTGGCACTTCATTCCTCCCCAACCCAAGGGAATTTTAGGGGTCCCATGCTGCTGCCCCATCCATGGGCCCTGACTCGCCTGTGGTATGCCCTGGGGATGAATATGAGGGTCAAGTAAACCCAAAACCCCTCTGTCACCTTTGCCAGAGGGAGGAGGGCAGGGAATGAAGCTTCGGAGATTCATCTTCAGGCCTGTTCAGGTACAGGTGCTGGTGACCCAGACGTACTGAGCCACATCCCACTGGAGGTGCCCTGTTCACTACCTCTCCCCCTTCCTTTGCCCTGCCTCCTTTCTGCTCTCCCCCATCTCTCTGCCACAGTCCTCCCCAGGTGGGCAGCCCTCTCTGGCAGTTTGCCCGGCGTGCCCAGGTCCCTGTGTGCTGGGACCTGAGCTGAAGGAAGGGGACGAACTCACAGCACCCGTTTCTCCTTTCTCCCTAGGTCAAGCCTGCGGTTGTCCCAGCCCAGCATGCAGCCTTGAACCTGGCTTAGGCCACCCCTTACTCCTGCTCTCAACACCCTGAATTTTACTGTGGCTTGTGGTGTGAGCTCTGGGCTGCAAGGTCCCTGAGCAGAAGCACTTCATCAAGAACCCCTGCAGCTCCAGAGGGCCCTGCAAATCCCGCTGTCAGCTCTGGGAACACAGCATGGCTATTACCCTGCAACCCAGTGACCTGATCTTTGAGTTTGCAAGCAACGGGATGGACGATATCCACCAGGTAGGGCCCCAGAATGTAGAGCCTAGTTAGCCAGGGTAGACAACCAGATGGATGCAGACAGGCAGGCAAACAGTCAGTGAGCCAGCCAGCCAGCCAGCCGGCCGGCCAGCAAATATTGATCAAGCACCTACTAGGTCCAGGGCACTGGGCCTGCCCTCCAGACGGCTGTGCATCGGCAGCGACTCCCTCACATGACCGGTCAGTCATGAGCCGCTGCCTCTTGCAGTTACGTGGCCCATCAGTCTCTGAGCCAGCCCGGCAGCTGCTAAGTACATCAGCCAAGCCACTGGTCCAGCAGCAGGTGTGCAGTGGCCTCTGTTGTGTGTTCCCTGTCACTGCCCTTCACCCCCAGTGTCGCAGTGAGGAAGCCCCTGGGACAGCCTCAGGGCCAGGTCCCACCCGTCACCTAGCACCGGCACCCCCTGTGTCTGGCCAGGTTGATGGGCCCTTCCATAACAGCTTTTGGCCTCAACCTGATTTAGGAGAAATGGGAAGTGGGGCCTTCTGGTGGGAGGGTCCTGGGGCAAAGAGGCAGAATTCTTGTGCTTAGGCTCCCACTGCTTCATGCCCTGCCCCGCACCGGGCACTTAGCTGTACCCATTGGATGATGTTCCTGCACACTCGTCACTGTCACTGCCCCAAACTGGGGAAGAGGCAGCCGGCACCACAGAAGGAATGCGCCCGCAGTCAGGAGCTCTAGGCTACGAGGCTAGTTTGGCCGTAGTGCTACCTGGGCAAGTCCCATCCTCCCCCTCTGCCATCTCCCCACCTTCAGCAAGAGGAGAACCAGCTGGGTTATCTGCAAGGGCACCCCAGCCTGGTTAGGGCCCCCATCCTAATTTTTCCTTGTGAGGACAGAAACCTTCGTGGCATCTCTGGTACCTGCCGAAGGCTGCCCCCTAGTGGCCCTTGAGCACACTGCATTCCCTCCAGGGGCTCTGCCCTCAATTGCTTGCTTTTATTTAACTCCTCTGGTGTCCCTAGCCTCTGGAAGGCCTTGTGCGGGAAGGCAGGAAAGTCGAGCCTTACTTGGGGTCTCAGTGCTTGGTATCACTCATCACTTGTTTCTAGTTCCTTCAGCTCCTCCTTCCCAGTGTAACTTCCACCCCATGTTTACTTCCTCACCTCCCTTTCCCACTCTTTTTAGGAAACAATTTTTACTGCAAAATGTATCATGAAGACAAAAGTGCATTAATCATATACAGACATGAAAGAAAAGCTATCATATTAACAGCCACGGACTCACCACCCAAGTTAAGAAATAAAACATTCCTAGTCTTCTAGAAGACCCTGAAATCTAAACACTTCTTGAGAACCTATCTATGCCAGGCCCTGTTCTAAGGGCTTAATGCATATTGGTTTATTTTTAAAAGCCATGGGGTCAACAATAGGAATGCCCCAGTGTTATACACAGGGAAGCTGACAGACAGTGGACGAGCACAACCCAGGAGCCTTCTGGGGTGCTGCCTGTGCTGCAGCTGTGGGGCCAGTGCTCCCTGGTTCGGGCAGCCTGAGCCACTTCCAGGGCAGCCGGACTTGTAACCCTAGAAAGTAAGCGCATTTACAGTTACATAATTCCTTCTGAGCAGTGGCTACTGCCTGGGACAGGCGCCTTAAAAACCCGCACCTTCCCGCCTGCCGGCCACGGGCCATCCTTTCTGAAATCAGCTGGAATGTACCTTGGGACCCCAGCCCCCCTGAAACTGCTCGAGCCAACCTAACTGCCCAGTAGCAAAATCCACAGGCACTTTATCAGTTTTGACTCTTCTGGCTCCTCCAAGAACATTACATGGAACTATGCACTCTCTTCCTTTTTTCATGAAGAATTAAAATTCCTGTGAAAAAGAATTTGTACAATACAGAAAAGTAGAAAGTGTGGGCGGGGAAATCACCCAAAATTCCACAACCTAAATGCAATGATGACGAACATTCTGGTATAGTGCCTTCTATGCATTAAAACAACAACAACAACAAAACACAGCCGCAATCACAGCCCTTTTTTATTTAGCTTTGACTTTCGCTCAACTTTGTTCTCCAGTGGCCAGAGTCCCAAGAGCTGTAGCGATCATCCTTTTAGCTCTTGAACACATCCGTCCGACTCCCTGATAGGTGTCTTCATTTTAGATGTCTCAAAGGTACTTCAAATGCACCACGGCCAGACAGGCCTCTTAATGTCCCCCCAAACCTGCTTTTCCCCTCTCGGGTTCTCCTCGCATGTGAGCAGCTGCCCATCCGGGACCCGGCCCTGGCCTGCCTGCTTCTGTGATGTCTGCTTTTCTGCCTTTCCTGGCATAGGCCGAGCCCTACGGTGCCCACGGTCGCGGCCCCTTAGCCTGGGCACCCAACCCCGGCTGCAGCTGCTCACGGAGCTCTTAGCCCTTGCGGCCACCTCACCACTTCCCACTGGTGTCGGTGGGCCCGCGGGCACAGGCTTCGGGTCGCCAGGACGGCCACCAACTAGGGCTGCCGCCCTGCGCGAGTGCGGGTGGTGCAGAGCCAGCGCGCTGTGCGAGCAAGAGCTCCATGAGGCGAGGCTCCGAGCAAGTCATCAGCCCACTAAGGGCCGCCCGGGAGGCCAGGAGGGCGGGTTCTGGTGGGGAGGACGCGCTGGGGCGGGAGGCTTGAAGCCGCCCCCGTGTTCCCCAGCTGGAGGACCCCTCGGTGTTCCCGGCCGTGATCGTGGAGCAAGTGCCCTACCCTGAGCTGCTGCACCTGTACTCGGGCCTGGAGCTGGACGACGGCCACAGCGGCATCGTAGCGGACGGCACCGTGTGCATGACGCAGGATCAGATCCTGGAGGGCAGCTTCCTGCTGGCAGGTCTGTTCCCCTCCGGCCAGGAAGCCAGTAGAGAAAGGGGCGCAGGTCACGGTGGCTTCCAGTGGCCCATGCAGCCTGCGCCAGGTCCCCAATCCTTGGAAGTCAGACCAGCCAGAAAGGTAGCACCCCCCCGTAGCGAGGGGACCATGCAGGGGGGCTCGAATGGGGCAGGACAACGAGGCGTGGACACCGGGATCTTGGTACCAGGGTGCAGAGGAAAGGTGAAGTAGGGTGGGCTACACTGTTCCCTTCTGGGCTGTGCCCTGAGGCAACTTGTCTTCTCCCCCCACCATGGACGCTGGAACCAGATGACAATGAGGCAGCCCCACAAGCCATGTCAAGCACCGAAGTGTTGCTCAACGTCGAGTCTCCCAACAACATGCTGGATGAGAAGCAAATCTGTAAGTTTAGACCTGGCGCCTAAGTCAAGGTGCCAGGAAACGCCATTTATAGGACCACTCCTGTGTGTCGACTGCTGGAGGTAGATGCAGACCTGGGTATTCTTCCTTTTAGCTGTGCCTGGGCTGGGAGGGGTCAGGAGAGCGCCACAGACGAGGACAAGATGGCCAAGGGGACTCTGCCCCCGGTGTGTAGCTGACAGAACCCTCTTACCCACTTGTCAGTGTGCAGCTCAGGGGTGTTAAGTATTGTGCAACCGTCGCGGCACACTCCAGAACTCTTCATCTTGCAAGACAAGACTCTGTCCCCGGAAATGCTCCCGGCCCTTGATGGCCGTCCTTGTGCTTTCGGCCTGGTCCCTCATAGAAGTGGGCTTCGATAGCTGCTGTCTTCTGGGGCCTGGCTTATTTCCCTTGCGTGTCCTCACGGCCCGTCCCCGTTGGGGGTTGTGCCTGAATGCCATGGGCCAGGGTGACTCTTCTGGCCCCTCTGCTCTCGCGCTTGGCCCCCAGGAAGGCCGCGGGGCGTGACTTACTGGGAAATGTGCCAGGCTTGGAGCATCCTCGTCCCTCCCCTGTTCTTGAAGGCTCGTTCCTACTTCCCCACGAACCACCCCAACCCCCACTGGCTCCTCCCCTCTGGCACCACAGGATGATTCCTGGCCCCCTGATATCCCTGCCCAAGGTTCTGGGGATGCAAAGGGAAGCTGCAAGATAAGAGTCCTAGCATTTCTAATCCTGACTGATAAGAATATGCATCCAGGATCTGACACATTTTTTAAAAAGATTTATTTATTTATGCATACAGAACTGGAGTACAGGCCAGAGGTGCAGGGCTGAGAGGATTCACCAGAGATAAAGTGGGGAGCAGAACAGGCAGATCGATGAAGTACACTGCTGAGGGAGCAGAGGGCGGGTCAGGAGAGGTCTGCCGCGCCATGTGGATCTCCTCCAGGGAAGGCAGGGATCGAACTCATGCAGAAGTGGCTTAACTTCCTAGTGCTGTGCTTTAACCCGTTGTGCCACTGGGGAGGGCCCAGTCAACACATTTTTCCTAAAGGCTTACAGGTACCAGGCACAAGCTTGCTGCGCAACCTTGGGTCTTACTATCTCTGGGCCCCCGTTTACCCATCAGGAAAGCAGAGATTGGGCTAAACGATGCCAAGGCCTCGGCTAGTTGTAAAAAGAGCTGATAACTAAATCAGGGTGGTCCTTTACTTTGTGTGATGCCTGGAGCCCCCCCAACTCCGGCTGTGGGCTCCAAGTGCGGCAGCTGTGATCGGGGCCTGCGCGTGCCCACAGCACTGCAGATGTTTCCTCTCCTCATGGTGCAGGACACGTGCTGCCTTTCCAAGGGTAGCCTGTGTCTGTGCTGTGGGGACTGGCGTCTCCCTCCCTGAGCATCCGGAACCCAGTCCCATGCTGCTCTGGGGCCCCAGTCACTTCAGGCCTTTCTTCTTGCAGTTAGCACCTCTGAGATGCTTCCAGACTCAGACCCTGCTCTAGCCGGCACTCTGCCCAGCTACTCATTTCCTGTCTCTGAGCCCAGTGCTCTGAACGAGGCAGGTGACACTGGTGGCCCCGAGGGGCCATCTCTGGAGGAGAAGGCTCTCGGAGAGGAAAATGCCAAGAGGACTGGAAAATCAAAGAAGAGAAGTAAGAGAGACAGAGGGGGAGGATGGGTGTTTGTGTGTGTGTCTGAGTGTGCGAGTGTCTTCCAGGAGGCGGGCAATAGGAGTGGGGAGTCAGGGAGACCCTGGGAGTGAGCGGATGGGGCTCAGACACTCGAGAGGACAGCCCTGGTGTGTCAGGCAGACAGAAGGCCTCCCTTCCAAGGCAGCAGGCCTGGCGGGTTGAGCCTTCCACCCAGCAGCCATGAGTTCTGCCAGAATGCCAGTGGTCCCAAAGGGTTCCGGCTCCAGGCCTGGGGCCCCTGATCGTGCCTAGCCAGGCTGGTTTATCTCCTGCCTGTAGAACTTGGGGAGCCCAGGCCATCTATGGAAGAGGACTTTGGGTTTCCGCCAGCCACGGTGGTACTGATTTCCTCAGGGCAGAGAGGCTGGGCCTGCCTTATCAGTGCGGCCGCTGAACCCGCTGGCCGGTGCTGCGCTATGCACCTGTCATGCCTTTAGGCTGCTACTTCACCTCCAAACTTCTGCTGAGCAGATTATGGTTGTATAAAGGGGACCCACTGGCTACTATGTTACCCCACCTCCCCTCCTCTGGGGCCTGAGGTTGAACATGGCCCGTTGGGCAGGTGAGGCTGGCGGCCGAGGGTGGCAGCTGAGGAGAGCAACCCTGGGCCTCCAGCCCAGGTGACCTGGCTCCCCCTTGTCTGCCTTGTGGGGCCCAACTCGACCAGCCCTGGGGCTCCCCTCTTGGGTCTCAGCCTCACACTACTCTCCCCGGCCCCTCACAGTCCGGAAGACAAAGGACAGCCGCAGCTCCTCACCTGTCACTGACCCTAGCATTCCCATCCGGAAGAAATCCAAGGATGGCAAAGGTATGGTGGAACTGGGTGGAGCAGGGCCCAGCAGGGTGCAGGCGGCGGGCAGTCACCTACTCTGCCCTCACCCTCTGGCAGGCAGCACCATTTACCTGTGGGAGTTCCTCCTGGCGCTGCTGCAAGACAGGAACACCTGCCCCAAGTACATCAAGTGGACCCAGCGTGAGAAGGGCATTTTCAAGCTCGTGGACTCCAAAGCGGTGTCCAAGCTGTGGGGGAAGCAGAAGAACAAGCCTGACATGAACTATGAGACAATGGGCCGGGCACTGAGGTAGGGCTGCTGGGCCGCCGAGCCCTTGTCTTGGGCGCTGCCACGCTCCTGCCCGAGGCCAAGATGTCCCTGTCCCACCTGACTTGTCCTTGCTTGCGCTTAGAAGGACAGCCCCTCCCTCTTGCATTTCTGTCCTAGTCTTTTTTGTCGTTTTTAGAGTGGAAGAGCTTTTCTTTAAAGATTTCTTTTTATTTATTTATGTGTACCAAGAGCTGGGGCACAGGCCAGAGGTGTGGGGGGTGAACAGATTCACCAGAGACAGAGTGGGGAGCAGAGCAGGCAGATCTGCTGAAACACACCGCTGAGGGGAGCAGCGCCAGGACCAGAGAGGTGTGCTGCGCCATGTGGGTCAGCGCCCTGGCCGGGGATCGAACTCGTGCTGCAGATAGCTTGATAGTGCTGCGCTTTAACTGCTTGTGCCACCAGGTAGGCCCCCTAGGATGGAAGAGCCTTTTAGGGCCTCACCTCCCCCAGTAGGCCTTCCTTCAGGTTCTACAAGCTGGACACCCTGGGACAGGCCCTGCGTGATTCAGAGTTGATCCAAGGCGGTAGGACCGCTCAGTTCCCTGCCTTCTTCCCCTCCTCCCTCCCTGTCGCTCCTGTGCCCCAAAGCGGGGTGGGGGCTGGCACCTGAAAACCCTTCCGTGGACCCTTTGATGCTCAGAGCGCTGAGATTCCTTGAAGACTGTCCTTGCCTTACTCCTTCCCTTGCTGCCCCGTTGGCCTCACGCTGGCCCCAGACAGAGGCCAGTGTGACCCTGGCTAACTCTTTTCCCCTTGTCCCCCAGATATTACTACCAGAGAGGCATCCTTGCCAAAGTGGAAGGGCAGAGGCTGGTGTACCAGTTTAAGGAGATGCCCAAGGATCTGGTGGTGATCGAAGATGAGGACGAGGGGAGCGAAGCCTCAGCAGCATCTCCTCAGGCCGCCACTCCCTCCACCTCCTCTGGTAGCACCACCCGGCGAAACAGCTCCCGAGTCTCCTCCAGAGCCACCACCCACGCCAAGGGCAGCCCCTCCTGGGAAAAGCCCAGGGGTCAGCAGGTTGGCCTCCAGCCGTCTGCGAGTCTGGAGTCGGGATTGCCTCTCGATGAGGAGCTCCCCACTACCTCCACTGTGCTGGTCTCGCCGCCACAGAGCCAGGCCAAACTCACCAAAGCTGTGAGGTAAGAGTTCCACCTGGTCATCGCCAGTCTGAACCGTATCGCCTCGTGTTGGGGGTCATTTCGCATTGCATTGCAAAGCTCTGCTGTGTTTCTGGCCTCAAGAGGCCCTAACAGGACCCCAGGTAGCCAGTGGACACTTGTTGGTCAAGACAGAAAAGTGACTTGCCCCGGGTCTCACACCAAAGTAATGGTGAAGTCAGTGCTTGACTTGGGGAAGCTTCTGGAGCTGCGCCAAGTGTCTTGTTATCCAAGAAGACTCCCCGCCGCAGCGCAGTGGCCAGCAGGGGCCTCCACATCCGCTCACACCCCGCCCTTCCACCCCAGCACCCTCAAGTCTCTACTCCAGAAAATACTGCTGAGACACTGGCTCTACCTTTCTCAGCCCTTCAGGCCCTCCTGGAAAACTTTCTCACGGCTTCTTGTCCCCTCTAAGGTGCCTCCAGTCTTCCCAGGAAAGTTTGGGCTTTGTCTGGGTTATGTGTGCGTGCCTCTGACTGCTCAAGCCTGGGCTACTGAGCTGCTCTCAGGAGGAGGGAGGAGGCAGTGGTGCGGAGGGGGAAGAACACGGCTGGGGCGTAGCAAGCCCAGATATGAGTCCCTGTTAGCTGCATGGTCTCAGGCATTCCTCTATCAGTCTTATGTGACTAATGGCCTGATGGGAAGGTTGAGTGAAACGCAGCAGGCCACAATCTAAAGGATCCCTCACCAGCTGTAACAAAGAAGCAGGATACTCTCAGCTCCCTTCCTCCCGGCCCCTCCTCGCCATTCAGCTGGGACAGGCCTCCGGCCTTAACCAAATCTGTTCTCTCTTTCTTCTCAGTACTCATGTGCCCAGCAACATCCACCTGGGGGTGGCCCCTGTGGGCTCGGGCTCAGCCTTGACCCTGCAGACAATCCCACTGACCACGGTGCTGACCAGCGGGCCTCCTGCCAGTACTACTGCTTCGACCCAGCTCGTTCTCCAGAGCGTTCCACCTGCTTCGACCTTCAAGGACACCTTCACTTTGCAGGCGTCCTTTCCCCTGAACACCAGTTTCCAAGAGAGTCAGGTGGCAACACCAGGGGCTCCGCTGATCCTCAGCGGCCTCCCCCAGTTTCTGGCAGGGGCCAACCATCCGAGCAATGCAGCCCCGCCCTCAGTCACAGGGGCTGCACCCGCAGGGCCCAGCTCTCAGCCCCCAGGGACTGTCATTGCGGCCTTCATCAGGACTTCTAGTGCCACTGCAGCCCCGAGGGTCAAGGAGGGGCCGCTGAGGGCTCCCTCATATGTGCAAGGCGTGGTTACGGGGGCCCCTGTGGAGGGACTGCTGGTTCCCGAGGAGACCCTGAGGGAACTCCTGAGGGAGCAGACTCACCTTCAGCCACTTCCAACCCAGCTGGGCTCCAGGGGTCCCCACAGTTCAAACCTTCCGGGGAACCAGACTTGCTCTCCTCCCAGCTGCCCCACTGTTGGGCTGACCCCAGTGGCTGAACTTGAGCTCTCCTCGGGCTCAGGGTCCACGTTGATTGCTGAGCCCAGTGAGACCACATCTGGGGGCCTGCCGGCCAAATCCCCTACCCCTGCCCCCTTCTCCCCATTCAACCCCACGTCCCTCATTAAGATGGAGCCCTGACACTGAAAGGGGGGCCGGGCGGAGCGTGAGCCAGCAGGCCAACATGAGCAGCATTTGACGCAGCCCTCCTTGAGGGGAGACTGACTTCAGCAGTACACCTGCCCTTACATTGCAGTGGGACCCGCGCCCTGCACCCCTGCCTGGCGCAACCACAGCCAAGCTAGACCTGATTTGAGCATTCCTGGCGCCAGACCATGGCCTTCATGAGCACATGGGGATGTGCTTCTCTAGGGTCACGGGCTGACTAGGTGATCGGGGAAACCTCCGGAGGAGTTTGCAGGCTGCGCCAGTGCCAGGGCCTGGCGGGCAGAGTCCTTTGGCCTGGCTGTGTTTCCCCATGTCTAGCCACACCCCAGGGAGGCTGTCCCCTCTGTGAATGTGTCTGTGTGTACTGTGTGTCCTCGTGGGCTCTAGCTCTCTTTCTTGAGGAGGACAGGGCGTAGCTGCCAGGTTTTCAAGGGCGTGTGTCTTTGGGTCAGCCACAGAGATGGGGAATCTATTTTAGAAGGAAAAGTATTCTAGTTCCCTTTGTACAAATCAGAATTCAGTTGGCTCAGACTGGAGTACATTTGGGGTCCCCCACATCTGGAGAGATGTCACAGAGCTGGAGTAGATCCAGGGTAGGAGAGCTTCGCTGGCGTGTCTGGGGGAAGATGCGGTTGGAAAGAACAAGGCAAGTTTGAGGGGGAGCAGAGCGCCAGGAGCAGAATGGGAACTCAGCCGTGGGGAGCGGCCCCAGTCTGCACTGAGGTCCTCCTGCTGGAGCTGGCCCCACTGGCCACCAGCCATGTGCCTAGCACCTTGGCCACCTCAGAGGCCCCTTCCCTGCCAGGCTCAGACCCAGCCGCGCAGGCGTGGCAGGCGCTCGGTGGGTTGGATGTCAGCGGCAGGGCTTGGTTCGCGAGGCTGGCCGAGTGCTCATGACGGCCTCTGCTGGCACCGGCCCACAGCCTGGCGCTGGGCTCCCTTAGTTCATCTGGCCCTGCTGTGCTGCTGCCGGGTGTGACGGGAGCCGTGGCGCACTGGCCTTGGGGCCGCCTCTGTTCCTGCTCATTCGTACCTGCCGCTCAGCCCTGCTTCTACTCACTTTGTAGGTTTGCCAGCCCACCCACCCCCACGACGGCTACCGCAGACCTCCTCCAGTGGACCGTTGCCCCTCATCTCCAACTCTCGCACCTGGCCCTGATTCCTCCTTCGCCCAGAAGACAGGAGCCAGCAGCTGTGAGCTCTCTTAGCACTTTCGTCTCCACACGGCGCCTTGCTTCCCTCTCTCCTCTTTCTGAGGAAGGGTCAGCCCCTTGACCAAGAGCCTGGGCTCCTCCCCTTCCCCTGCTTTCAACTAGCTTGCCCCATCAGCCTTGAACACCCACCGCCCGCTGTGTTGGGTTAATGTGAATCAGTGCCACAGGACCTTTGCTACATCCTTGGCACAAAACCATCTATTTGGCCTAACTACCTCCCCACGTTGCTCTTCTGTCTCTTTCTGGTTGGCCACTGCCAAGCCTACTGTCATCTTCGCCCACTCTCTTGTTCTCCCTCCACCCCAGAGGGAGCCATTTGTGGTTGTGCAGGTGTATTTATTACATGTCTCCAGCACTTAGCAGGAAAGTGCTTTTTTTTTTTTTTAATAAAATTGGTTTATTATGACAAATTCCTGATGGTGGAAAGTAAAGTAACTTGAGAAAAGGTCACCTTTAAGAAAATTGCACCAAGACATTCATGGCTCAGGGCCGGCCCTCCTGGCCCCTCTCGCTAGCACTCACCCTCTGCACGCGCCGCTCTGGTGGTGAGGGCCACCGCCTCCACAGGCCCATGGTCTGCTGCCGCTCCCAGCCTCCCACACTGTTGGCTCTTCTGCTCCCCCATGCCCGCAGGCTCCACATCTGCCCATTTAAATGTGGGTGACCCCAAGAATCTCATCCATCCTCCTGGCTCCTCCTCAGCTCTTGGCTTACGTTTCTTGCCCTCTGCTGCTCATTTTGCCCTGCGTGCCTGACAGCCCTCAAAGGGAGCCCCTCTATCGAACATGGATTTGCTGCGCCTTTCCACACACACGACCTTTCCCCGGCAAACAAAGGAAAAGCTGTAGTGACTCGCTGTCTCTGTGAATGACGCCCCTTTTCCTGAGCTAAGCTGGATGTTGCACAGCCATCCCAGGGCAGCTTCACCTGTCCCTGTCCTTGTCCGCCCCCTATCTCCTGAAGTCCAGCAAGCTCTGCAATGTATCTCAAACCTGGCACGTCCATGTTTTTAGCTCAAACTTACCCAAGCTTGCCTGCCGGCGAGGCCCTCCTCCCTCAGGTTCCCCCTGACTCAGCTAGCCGCTTCTCACTGAGGCAGTGCTGCAGTCACACCTGCAGGGCTGTCTTCCACGTGCCCCACCCCTGCGTGTTTGCGCTTCTTGGTTCTGCTCGCCCAGACTGCTCAACCCACCCTATCAGTGCCAACTACATGGCATCCATCCTTCAAGACCCGGTGCATGGCCACTGCCCTTCTCCAGGCCAGCCTGCCTTTCAGGGAGTCCTTTATTCTAAACAGCAGCAATCGTCACTCTTTTGGCCACTGGTCTTGAACAGCCTGTGACATCTCCTCTATTACAATCACAAACTGTTACTTAAAGCCTCAATGCCCAGGACCTAGTTGTCTCCCCAAGTGGTTACCATCTGGAGCTGTGGCACCCTTAGAACAGGTCACACCGCAGAGCATGTAGTATGTCACTGAACGGTGACTGAGCTGGTGGGACACGGGGACCAGACTTGGAGGAAGATGACCTCTGACCTTCCCTCTGCACAGGCACTCACCCCAGGTGCTCCACTGCCAGGGGCCCATCCTCCCTGGTTCAGGGTCCTCATGCAACTCCTACTCCCACTTCTCACCCCTAAGAGTTATTACTACTTTGAACATCCTCTGCCTCTAAAGAAACTTCCCTGTTCAGTTTTGTTCATACTCAAAGTGTTAAACTGGCTTCTCTGGTAAACTAACCTGTGCTGATACAAGTATGGGTGAGGGCTAGAGGAGACCCTCAGGAGACAGGCTCTGTTTGAGCAGGGTCACCTGGCAACAACATCCTGCCTTTGCAGTGAACTCGCACCTAAGCCCCCAGCAGCTGATGTATGGCTCCCTCCTCTGGCCCGTGCGCACCTTGTACATACCTCTTCCCTTAGCACTTAGCACACGGTAGCGGCTTAGCTATGTATTTATCTGTGTTCTCCTCCAGTAGACTGTGAGCTCCTCAAGGACAGGGACTGTGTGTTAGTCACTGATGTATCCCCACCCAGCTCCTAGCACAGTGCCTGGCACACAGTAGGTGCTCAATAAATGTTTGTTGAAAGAATTATTGAGTCCTGTTTCTAATGGGGGTTTCAGCCCTATGAGGAGGCAGGCAAGAGAGGAGGGACGACCATCCAGGTCCAGGGCCTCCCGCAGCTTTTGGACACCTCACAGAACACTGCAGGCTGCTGCTTCTGTTCCCCATGTCTAGGCCACCTCCAGATAGCACTATCCAGAAGGTGCCCGGGGTGTTTCCCGTTGTGCTTTGTTGTAATCAGGTGCCCCAGACGACTCCAGAATGCCGCCCCTTCCTGGGACAGCCTCGGGACTACTGCCTCTTCTGTAGGCGGGACTGAGGGGTAGAACTGGCAGGCCCATGGGACGGGCGGCCCAAGAAGTCAATCTCCCGTCCCCAGGTCTTTCTGAATTTCATCACGGGTTTAAAAAAAAACAAAACCCGCTTGCCACTGGCTCCAAAGCCCCTGGACCTGAGGTGACTGAGGCCACGGTCCTGGGCACTTCCTGGGCTGGGAGGCAAAGGTGGAGCAAAGGGGTCGCAGGCTCAGGAGCCTCGGCGCTGGCACGCCAGACGTGGGGGGGAAGGCGCCCGGCAGGTGGCACTGTCGAGCCGCCAGCTGCGGGCAGGCAGCTCAGCGGAGCTGTGGAAGGGAGGGGCGGCCGGGCGGGGCCTGGCGCTTCCTGCGCAGGCGGCCACGGCCCGCATCTTCCGCCTCTCTGTGTGGACTCTGCGCCTCTAACTGTTCCGGGTGGTTCCGGTCCTCTCCAACGGCCTCTACTGTACCGGAGCGTCGAACTTTCCCCCACGCCGGCCCTCGCCCCTCCACTTTCCACGGGGCTGAGCAGTCGGCCCAGGCCTCCTCCCCATTGGCCAGTCGCGCCTGGCGCCGCCCCCGCCCCACCTGCAGGTGAACACGCGGCCCGCCCGCCTCCAGCCGCGGCCTGTCTGTAGCTGCGCTCCGCCGCCGCGTACTCCCGGGAAATCCCAGAGCGAGTCAGGCGCCCACGACGACTGTTTGCCTGCGGAGGGCCACACGGCTAGCGGCCTGAACGCGGGCTCCCGGAGGGACGGCCCCTGGCGGCCGAAGCAGCGCTAGCCAGCCTTCCTCTTGGGAAGCCGAGAAGCTGGTGGCCTTGGGGAACACGTGGAGCCTGGCCCGCCCCGCTTCGGGGTCGGCTGCTAAACCTGCCCCAGGGGAGGGGCTTGTCCTAGCGGCGGCGGGGCACAACAGCGCTTCTTCCCCAGGCAGCTTCCCTGTGCTATGTTAGAATATGGAAAGAGCGGGACTTTCCTGATCAGTTTGTTCCCAAACCCTAACCTAGAAGGGATAAGAGAGCAGATGGTCCTTTTTGTGGGAGCAGCTTCCCTTTGAACGTTGCACTCCAGAAAGGAATATTCTGGTAAGATCAACTTGTGACCTCAGCAGGGTGAGGAACTAACTTTCCCAAAGAGTGTCATATTGTCCGTGGGGTTCTCCTTGGTGGCTGGTAAATTGAGCCGCATTTGGCAGATGGAGCAATGAAGACTCAAAAGATTAGGTTCCCACCCAAGGTCAGCCCAGGTGGTAAGTGGTGGGGCTGGCCCCTCCCACGCTCCAAGGGTCAGGAGAGCACTTAAGAGGCCAGCTGCCCTCACTGAGCCCAAGGCTGCAGATTGCCCATCATAGTCTTGCCACCTGCCTTCATCTCACCAATCTAGCAGAAGGGCAGTGGCAGGACTCCCAGAAGGGCATGGGGAAAGGAACCCCAAGGCAAGAAAACACGGAGCTTACTCTTTGGATCTACTTTTAACTTCCCCATTCCAGCCTTTCTCCAGGGGAATGAAGGGGTGTACACACAATCCCAAAAGCCATTCACAGCTTCCAGGAGGGCCAGCGCCCATTCCTTTGAGCGTCTCAAACACAGACATAGTTCCACAACCAAACCAATGCCACACTCTTCCCTCTAGCAGCCCTGGCTCCAGGATTTGCCCCTGCCAGCTTCACAATCCCTCCTCCCTAACTGCAAATATTTATAGTAACCTCCACCACTGTCCCTTCATCCTTTCTTTTGAACTTCAAGCAATTACCTTTCTTCCCTTACCTTTCTGTGGCACCTCCAACAGCAAAACGCCTGGCATACCCCACTGAAGCTTTCCCTTGGTTCCGCAGGGCTCTCACCCCCACCTCCCGCTTGCCCCCTCCACAGAAGCGCTATTGAAATGGGTCATAGTTTCTTGTCTCTGAGCCTTTGCTTAGATGGTTTGGACATCTGTCCTTGGTGCCCCAAATCCCTACCTTCTACTTCTTGGTCAGCAAGGCACCCCCTTTCTCAAGAAGTCTCACCAACTCAATGGCCCTCGCCATTCCTTGGCTCCGGTGGCATCCTGGGTTTGGCTAAAGTCCTGCGCTCACCACATGGGTTTCCTGACCTACTGACGTGTTTGACTTCCCAGCTGCCAGTTCCAAACTGAATGTACCTGAAATCCCTATTGTAGGGTTGTTTGGGAACCCAAGAAAGCAACGACCCTAGAGGGCCTGAGGATCAGAATGAGGAAGCAAAGGCCAGGGTTTTGCTGCTGCTGATGGGCTGATGCGTCCTCATCCTCGGGGCAGAAGCCCACAATCAAGCGCAAGCACACGCCCAGGCCGGGGATTGAGCAGCTCACAGCTCACTCTTGGGGATGGCTGGGCTCCAGCAGGGGAGACACATGGAATCCTTAACTTATATTCTGAGCAGGGATCCCCAGCAACATAAGCTGGTGACAGGCCCTAGGTATAGAGCCTCAAACGGCCTCGTCGTAGGCCTTTACCCTGAGAGTTACAGGTACATTCTAAAGACAGTCAGAAGGAATCAGTTTCTATGTTTTCGGCAAACAGGAGGAGAAATTGTAAAATTTGGGGTGAGCATCTCGCCTCCATTGTAGCTGGGTCTGGGAGACCCAAACTGTGAAGCCTGCACTGTGTCGGTGGGCTGGCATGACTGGCACGCAGTGGAGTGCTGTGACAGCAGTCAGATGCCACCTGGGCAGCCCAGGCCAGGAAAGAGCCAGCAGACTGGCCATGTCCTCAAGTGAAGGGTGGTGTTCATCTGAGCCAGCTCGAAGATAACTGCCCCGACCCAGCTACTCTGCTGACCACCGACTACAGACCCCCCCACTCACACGCACACACCCTGATGAGCGCAGCCACTCCACCCTCACCACCACCCTGCCTTCTCTCCCCTTCCTCTCCGCCCCTGATCCTGTCCCAGTGAACCCCATGTGCAGTGGCCCCTACACAGCATCCTCATTCACTGCCTCTCTTGGGGCCCCAACTGTCAAGCAGGATCAGGGGCTCCCATGTCACCTTCACATGGATGCCTGTATTCTTTGGCCACGTAAAACTCAGTCGGGAGCAGAGTAAAGAGAGACAGGAGACAGAAGCCCTGACGTGGGTTTCAGTATGCAAGTGTTTTTGACTCCGGCAGCCAGTTGCTTAAAATGAAACACAGAAGGCAGCTAGAAATCACACCCAAGTGCAAAAAAGAAAGGCAAACATAAACCACGTAATACCAGGAGCCCAACAAAACCAAAAAATTAAAACCCAAAACCCCTCATCTTTATATATATATGTATATATATATATTTTTTTTTCTTAAAAAGGGAGAACAACAGTTCAAAACCAACTGGGCAGTATGGTGGGGGTGGGGAGCAGTCCTACAGAAGGGGGTTGAGAACTCCCCCTGGGAACAAAGAACAAACACAATACAAAGAAAATAGCCACCAATGCTCCCACATGGGTTGGGAGTCTCCAGAGAACAGATTGTCCCATCCTCAAACTGGCTTTTTTTTTTTTTTGCCTTTTTTTTTTGTCTTTTTTTTTTTCCATTTTCTTCTTTTGTTGTTGTTGTTTTAGCACCTGTACAATAAAACTGTACCATCTCCAATCAGAGCCGGCCACAGAGAGGCCCTCCTGCCTTTGGATGGCACATACTCTCTACAAGGATTGTTCGGAAAAATAGCAATTGGTAGAAAAATAAGAACAAGAGCGGGGAAGACCACGCACGCACGCACGCACACCACTGAGGGGCGGGGCGGGAAGCAGCCTGGGCTCCTCCCTCTCTCCCTGAACTAACCGAGCACTGCTGGCCAGAGGCCAGGAGGTGGCCTGGAGCCCTGCGCTAAGCTCAGCCCCCACCCCTAGGCAGGAGTGGAGCCCAGAGACCAATCTCCTGCCCTCGCCGGCCTCGGAAACAGCTGAGGCCTGGACTTCACATCTGGCAGTCAACTCCAGAGCCCTGTGAAGATTCCGAAGAGAATGGGGGGGGGGGCGCAGAGGGAGAACAGAAGAGAAGCGAGGGTTGCTGCGAGTGGGGCAGTGGGGAGAGTGACGAGGGGAGGGCTAGAGCTGAAAGGCTCAGTATCCAGAGAGGGTGAGGCCAGAACAGGGGCCGGTGGCTGGGGGAACAGGCCTATACTGTGCACTCTGAGGGAAGCAGCAGGCAGATGTGAGGAGGGCGACCTGTCTCCTTCAGGTCAGGCTCCACTCTCCTGTCAGAGTGACCCACTGACCCAGCTCCTACTTCATCTCTAGCTAGCACGGCTGCTTCAAAGGGCAGGGGGTGTAACAAGAAAATCTGGGGGTGGGGGAGCACCAGAATCTCGGGATTTACCCCCAGCCCCCCAGCCCTGGGCCAGCACCAGCCAGCTTCAGGAGTCACAAGTTGATAGTCCCCATCCCTCCAACCTCCTCCCTGGTAGAAGAAAAAACCTGGGAGTAACTTTGTGTGGGGGGAGGGGGGCAGGCAGCTTTAGAGCTTATCAAGGAAGAAACAGAAAAGAGGTGAAGAAAGTCCCTCAATACAACAAGTCTCAAATTGTCACAGTGATACAGACTTATCAGAAACCAATGAAACAATACAAATTAAATACTAATAAAATAAATACTATGGAAGACAGAAGAACACAGGGGAACAGAGGGGGCACTCAGAGATCTGGGCTTTTCTCACTTCTCCTCTGGACAGGCTGCAGCCACCCAGGGCCCAAGTTTGGTCTTGGTCATACATACGGAGGCCAGTTCAAGGGACCCTGGCACCACCTCCCACCACCCCTGGGACCTCTTGTCCTCAGACGTGGAGTTTCAACTTTTCAACCCCATCACCAACCACAAGAACAATGACGATGACAAGGAGATGAGAACTAACTGTAACCAAAAAAAAAAAAAAATCCAGTCATTAATTAATGCTGGCATTGATAAGGCGGCTTCTTGTTGGTCCGAATTATTGCCTCATTCTGCAGTCTGGTGCTGGGTGGGGGAAAAGACTTGGGAGGTGGGGGAGGAGGGTGAACTTGGGAGGAGAAAGAAGAAAAGGGAGGGGCTGTTTTCCCAGTCAACTATTCCAGGACTGGAACTCCACCTCAGACCCTAGGAGCCGGATTAGCTCAGGCTCATACTGCACCAGCTCCACAGTCTCAGAGGAGCCCAGGGCAGAAGTGGTGTCCAAGCCTCCGGGCCTCTCGGCAGGGGTCAGCAGCTGACTGGAGGCCACCTGCCTGTGGAACTCCGCCTTGGGCAAGGTGGCAATTTCAAAGTGCGGGAAGCGAGCCTGAAAGATCCTCGAGGAAAGCTTCAGCCTCTTCAGGACATCGGTAAAGAGAAACCAGTTGCAGGGCCTAGAAAAGGCAAGAATGGGAGTTAGGACGGGTGAGGGGAAAGTGGTGGGCGGGCAGGGATCTGGTGGGAAGGTCAAAGAAGGTGCAGATGTAGCAGTAGCCCACTGGGTCGTAGGCACCTTGGGTGCAGCTGAGGAGAACACGTTCTCCTGTCCCCTACATGGCTGGGCCAGCTAGCTGCTAAATGGAAAGGCTTCAACCCATGGCTGCCCTCTTCCAAAAAGTGGGAACAGGAGGAACATGGGCCTTCCAGAACCTAAAAACCCTTAAAAGGCCTCCGCAGGCCTAAGCACGCACCCTATGACCCGGAGTTCACCCTCTGCTGGGACCAGTTCTTTCCCTGACCAGCCTCAGCCCACCAGGTCGTGTTTCCCTTTTCTTGTCTCACTCTTGCTTCCCTTGATTCCTTATTCTCCAAGATCATCCCCAGCAGAGGGGGAGCCGTGGAGAAAGGCCTAAACTGTGGGTAATCCAAAAGGCATTTCTCTTTGGCTCTGGAATGCATTAGACAATTTTTTTCCTCCAGCAGCAGCACCATCGTTTCTGCAGGGCCAGAGCTCACGTTACAGCCAGTCAGACTTTGCTGAGCACACCCAACTGGGCGGCAGCCTGGGGACAGCTGGGAGGGTGCTGGAGAGGCCAGTCATGGGCCTCTTGCGTGGGCCAAACACTCACTTTGACGACAGCAGGGAGAAGGGCTGCAGCCCCTGCTAGTGACCCTGTCTCCAGGGCTTCCCCGCCTCGCCATTCTACTCTGCAATCGCTAGTTTCACCACTTCTGCCGGGACTGCATTGCGTCAGCCCTCTAACAGATTTCCCTCTGCCAAAAGTCACGCTCCTACACTACCACCATCCTCGTTGCACCCTCTTTTACTATTAGTTTTCTGAAAAAGAAAATCTCACCTTTATTCTCCTTCCCTAAAGAGCTTTTGATGGCTCCCCAGTATCTCCAGTAAAAATAACCCTCCAAATTCTTTAGCTGAATATCACTGAAGATCTCCCACACATGACCCCGTTCAACTTCCTCAGGCCCATCTCCGCCCAACACCACACACACACGCACACACACATAGACCATGTCTGCCTTGGGTCCACGTGTGAACTACTTGCTGAAAGTTTACCCCAGCCTCCTGAATTTGTGTGTCTCAGCATCTTGCTCATGCCATACCCTTTATCTCTTTCTCCTCTCTGGCCCACCAGCGAAACCTTCCTCTGCTGACTGCTCACCCTATCTGCTAGGGTCTCATGGACCTTGTCTCAGAACCCTATTAAAATATTTATAACACAGCCTACTGGGAAAGGATATAAAAGCAATAAACATTCTCTGTGGCACAGGAAGAGGGTTCCCAATGGGCTTGAACTTTTATTATTTGCTTGACACCTTTTTGAATGGCTTGGGTTACTTTGGGTTTCTTTCTTTTTTTTAAATAATATAATAGTTTATTTTTACATAATTTTGTACCTTTTTTTAAAAATAATAAGTCTCTTATTCAAGTACATTGTATACGTGTCTTTCTCTTTTACTAAATTGGAGAGTCTCTGCAGCCAGAGCTATATTCTGGCTCTCAGGGTTTGACTCAATACGAACCATAAGCCAACTTCATGGAATTGAGTAGCACCAAAAATGTCTACCTAAGTCTCAGATACTCAAAATTCAACCTTTCTTTCAAATGGCAGCAAACTCTATCATCTCACAGAGTGAGTGAGTGTTCTCAGTTAAGAGAAAGGAGATACCATATACTCGGATCATTCCTTTCAAAGAGTGTATGGGGGGGTGACCCCAGAGCATTAACTGGTGATAAGAATTCAGTCTTGCTTTGATGATTCTGAAGGCACTTGTGAACCCCACAGGGCCTGGAGTCATCATTCTACACCCTTCTACTTCTTGAAGAACATAAATGTTCCTATTGTACTACAACTGTGGGGAAAGGCTGATTGAGAAGAGGTGCCAGAGAATGTAAAGTCAGGAAAACCAGCTTTGCTGGGACCAAGCTCACAGCAGAAACTCAGCTCATGGCCTGGGTTCCTGAGTTCTGTCAGCACCTATAGCACACTACCCTAGTCCTTGACTGCCAGGGGCCCAAGATCCTGTTTCAGAGGAGGTGCTGAATACTTTGAAGGAATTAATTAACTGTGCAATACTATATCCCAGAGGCCCGCCCCCACCCCTCAGGGATCAGCTTATGCCCAGCAGAATAAAGCCCCAAAGCCCCTGAAACTTGATCCTGACTGGTATCATCATATAGGCTATTTTTGTTCTTATCAGGCCATCGGGGACAGGGTGTAAAGAAACTATGGTCTAGTGGTCAGATGTGCCAACTGAGGGTCTCAGTCTTAGAGCTCCTGATCAACCACCCACTCCTCTGTCAAGTGTACTTCATGCACTTTCACTTAAAGAGAAAAGCTAGGGTCTGCTATTTTCAAAATATATATCAAAGAAGAAGACTCCTTACAGTCAGATGCAGAGGTATTTGAGCTATGTGCAGATACCAAGAAGAAGGAAACAACGACAGAGGCTAAGAACAAAGGCTGAGTCACCCTGCCTCCTCCGAAGCAGCACACCCCGCACAGCTCGGTGAGGCCCGACTGCAGACAGGCCCTGCACGCAGCTCAGCAACCCTCGGGGTCTCCAAGTGAGGAATGAACTTGGTGGAACCTGATGTTAAATGTAAGGTATTGTCTAGTTTCTGAAGATGGGTGATGCCCAGGATAGTGTACAAGGTAATCTGAGCCCACAGCATTGATGCCATCCTCTCACCAACATTCAGGTCCTGAGAAACCAGCCTGTGGATTACTTTAAAGACCCCCAGTGGCCCCATAGCTATGGCAACCATATGTCCCAGCTTTCCTAAGAATCTCAATTTCAAATATTCGGTCTGGTTGTCCCCAGAAACCACAAAAATGTTCCGGAGCTTCTAGTAGTTCATCAGCCCAAATATCTCCCAGATCTTCCTTCACACCCAGGAACGGTACAAAAGTCCTTCAGAGACTGAATGGAGACTTTGGGAGTTGAAGGAACATATGCAGCCAGTGTACCCTTACTACGAATCTAGGTGAGAATGTCAGGCTGAACGTGGTCATGTATTATCTTTGTGTGCAACAGTGCTCCTTCTCCAAGCCTCTGCCTCCTCCTAGAGAGCTCCACCTTTCCCAGGGAGGCAGGACCGGGGGTTGCCAGGATGCTGGTGCTCAGTCCCCATAGATCTCTGCAGACACTTACCCGCGGGACACTGACACTTGGAGGTTGTAGCAAGGGAGAAGAGGCTTGTCTGAGAACTCAAACATAAAATCATCCTCTTCCCCATCATCTCCTTCTTGATCAGAGTTCCCTGGAGGATTATGTAGAAGGTCACAGGCAAACCCATCTTTTTCCTCTGTAAGGAGAGCACAAACTCTGTAAGGAGTTTAGACTTAGCAACATGCACAAAAATGAAGAAATGAAACACCCCAACAAGAGAAAGGGGTGAGGCTAGTTGGTTAGGAGGTCAACAGGAAGCCTACAGACCCCTGCTCAGAGTCAAGGTTCACTGATCTATGGCTCACAGGTTGGCAGAGTACTTTTGTGGCCAGAAATTCATCGTGCTCCTCCAGGTTCCCAGTGGGAACAGGCTGGGCGATGTGAACGAGGACTGCTCCGCTGTTTCAGATGAAAGCCAGATGACTTCCCAAGTCTGCTCCAACTGCCTTTCAGGGGTCCCCAACAGCCTGGGCAGGTGGAGCACATGGTGCTCTGACTGTTACAAGTAGTGATATTGTAAGTGATCCTGACTGATCAGAAAGTGGGTGTCATTGAAATAAAAATTTAAAGTGAAAGTGACCATTGCTCCATCTTTGTGTTGGGTGTGGCCTGCTGCAGCTTCTCCCAAGGTTAGAGGTGGGTGTCTTTCCCCATCTGCAGCCCCCAGATGACAGCCACAGATAAGGATGCACTTCCAAGAGAAGAAAGCTTGAGCCAGAAGACTATGGGTTTAGAAGAGAGCAGTACTGTCTAAAACTGTGCGCATAATGGGGTCAGGGTAGGAGGAAATGGGGGCTGCCAGATGAGGGGCTGGGTCCTTTCTGAGTATGAGCAATGCCAGAAGAGATGACAACGTATACATTGAGGCTTCTGGTAGTGTTAGGACAAAGTAAGGGACCTTGAAAGAGTCAGCATAAAAAAGGTAGCCAGGTTGGGGAGTGGAAGAGTAAGGGGTGACTTTGTCCCAAACACTGGTTTCCTTGTTTCAGAAAATGAGTTGTGTTTAGGGGAAGCATGGGCTAGGTGTGGCCCAAAACAGTTTATGAGCTACTAACAGGTGAAGAAAGGCTACCTCCACAGGGTAACTCCCATCTTTGAGAAAAATCAGTAAAACCCAAAATAATTCCCAAATCTCTGAGCCATAGGCAAGGGTGGAAAGAATCCCATTTAAAGCTTACCCAACACGGAACTGCTGTAAAAGTCCCAGGATACACCAGGGTCACCCTCTGCCCTTCCCTGAAGATCCGAGAGGTGATCTGATAAAAGGAGACAAGGCAGTGAGTCAAGGAGGATTGGCTGAAGGAGGAATCCAGAAGCAAAAGATATCCATGTGGGGCTACAAGCGGGAGAAGGGAAGAAAGGATCATATAAGGGGCCAGGAATGGCCAGAGATATGCTTCCTGTGGCCAATGAGAAGCTGCAAACCAGCAGCCGGGAGCCACACCTAGCTCACCTGAGCACCTAGAGTCTGGCTCAGTGCTTTAAACCAAAAACATTTCATTGACTTTCAACATTTTAAACTGTTACACACAGTGATATTGTAAGTGATTCTGACTGATCAGGAAGTGGGTGTCATCGAAATAAAGTGATTTATACTAAAAATTTAAAGTGCAAGTGGCCACTGCTCCAGTTTTGTGTTGCGCATGGCCTGCATTTCACCCCAACCTTCTGCTTCAGCTTCTCCCAAGGTTAGAGACATCTGGCTTGTCAACAGCTGGCTGGAGGAGAGGCAGCATGAGTGTTCCCCAAATCAGCAATCCCCAGCCAGGCTGCTATTGCTCTGACATGATCAGCCTGAAGGTATTTGGGTCTGGGACACCCCCACCCCTTTCAGTGGTACTGGGAATTACTCTGCAAGCAGAATCCTGGGCTAGCTCCTCAATGGTTACACCATTCACATTCCAATCACGATCTCTCCCATTCAAAGATAAGGAAGCATAATTCCTTCTGTTTCATCTTTGGAAAACATGGGAGAGGTAGTCAAATTTATCCTCACAAAAATCTTTTCCTGCCATATACCTTGAAGAACTTAAAACAGGTATTCAACATTAACTTAGAGACTTCAATGTTCATAGCAGCTCTATTCACAATGGCCACCAAGTGGAAACAACCAAAATATTGTTCAACTGATAAAGGGATAAACAAAAAATAGTATCTCTCTACACTGGAATATTATTCAACCATAAAAAGGAATCAAGTACTGACTGTAATACATGGATGAACCCTGAAAATATTGTAGTTAGAAGTCAGATGCAAAAGCCCACAGAGAGTATGATTCATGTATATGAAATATACAGAACAGTCAATTCTGGAGGCAAAATGCAGATGCGATGTTGCCAGGATTGGGGGAAGCAGCAATGGGAAGTGACTGCCTCATGGCTATAGCATTTCCTTTTGGCCTAATAAGAAAGTTCTGAAACTCACCAGTAGTGATCATGGTATAAATTTTGAATAATTAATGTCACTAATCTTCACACTATAAAATGATTAAAAGTAAATTTTGTGTTATGTGTATTTAACACACAAAAGCACCATTTGCTCACTTGATCTGAGACATCAGCTTGCCCTTGCCTTCTTGTTTCCTCACTAAGCATTATCTAGTAGACTTGATTTATGTCTCAGCCCCACATGGATTAAAAAAAAAAAAAGACTTTCAAGACAGTCAATTGTGCCATCTGTGGGCACCTGGCCCAACAGTGGCCAATATGCTACCTAGCACAGCTGGCAAGTTAATTTAGCTTTGTATGATTGCCACCAACCTGACAGCTGGGCAACAGGACAGAAGAGAATCCAAAGGCCACAGGTGAGGGTGAAGGTGTCCCCTAAAACCAAATACCCAGAGAAAGTTGGCAGACACCCTTAAAGGAGGGGGGGCCAGCTTCCCCCAATGGAGCACACCGCCATACCCTTTGGGTCGCACACCCTACAAACAACAATGCCTGTTAGATGTTGTAAACTACTAAACGAAGTAATTTTTTAGCAACTTTCTAGGAGGTGAAGGGTTTCTTACTGTAGGAAAAGACAGCCCAAGAAAAGGTTTAGAAGTAAGGGATGAGTAGCCACAGTGGAAAACCCATACATTAGATTTTCTGTGCATTCCATGAAAAAACTCGGGTCATGGCTGCCATCGTATGTGCTCTTCTGTACCCTGTGTCACCTGTGAGGGTTGGGAGTAGATTCTTCCAAAAGCTTCTCTCAGTTACGTCTGAGCCTAGTCCTGTGCTAAGTGTCCTAGAAGATAAAGGAATGGGATAAAGGAATGCCAAATGGCAGGGGCCACATGTCTTGTTTACCTCTGTCACCCCAATACCTCAGCCCAGGTGCCTGACACACAGTAAGAGCCTAACAGATAGATGGACACAACAGGAAAAGTGGGAGGGGAATTACTACGAGGTGAGATTATAAAGTCATGAGCTTGCTTAACATATGCTTCCACACACTTCTGCCCCTCCCAGAGGTCACACAAGGATCCCATCAGAGCAGCCCTGAACTCACTACATTCCTGGGGCTCCTCTCTAGGAACTGCCTTCAGAGCCCCTGGGTACATTTCTCTAATTCTGACTGACAGCAAATCTTTGTCACTTGTAGGTGAATTTGCTTTTTGAGACAGTCAAAAGTTATCTGGCATGAGCAAAGATGCAGAAGTCAGAACAAGCTCCTGAGTAGCATGCAAGAAAGTCTGGGCTAGACTTTATGAGCAGCTTTGATTCATGTTTGTTCTTAAGTCTTCACAGACAATGAGGGTGTGAGGATGAGGAGTGTCTTTCATTTCCTGGCCTCTTTCCCACAACTTTCTTGTCCTTCCCTTCAAAATGTATGCTCCGCGCAATAGCCCCACTACTTGGTACATAGCTAAAACAATTGAAAATTGGTACTCAAAAGAAATGCCTGCTCAGGGTCATAGCAGCCGACACTAGTCACAATTGCCAAAAGGAGAATATAACCCAGATGTCTGCCCACTAACAAGAAAAAGAAAAGGTAGTATATTCCTACATGGGGATATTGCAAAGAGCCACACTGCTCTTTGCAACGTAGTGTCACACCACTCTGCCTTTATGAAAGCCTTACCTTAACGCAGGCAGCCCCCATCCACATCCAAGGGTTCAGCCAAACATGGATTAAAAAACAGGTGCTACACAGTTAGGCCTAGAGGGTTGTATCTGTACTAAACGTGCATTTTTTTCTTAGTCAACATAACCGAAACAATTTAGTATAGCTATTTAGATAGCATTTACACTGTATCAGATTTTATAAGTCACCTGAGATAATTTAAAGTATATGAGAGGATAGGCCTCCTTGGTGGTGCAGGGTATCAAGCTATCCACAGCCACTGAGGCATGAGTTTGATCCTGGGCCAGGGAGATGACCCACATGGGGCAGCAGACCTCTCCTGTCTCACCCACTGCTCCCCTCAGCAGTGTAGCTCAGTAGAGCCACCTGTTTTGTTCCCCACTGATGAATCTTCTCACCCCCTGCACCTCTGGCCTACACCCCAGTTCTTGTATGCATAAATAAATTTTAAAATCTTTAAAGTACATTAGTGGACGTGTACAGGTTACATACAAGCATCACACCACTTTATATAAGGGCCTTTGAGCACTGGAGGATTTTAGTATCTATTGGGGAGATCTCGGAAACAACACCCTGCAGATACCAAGAGGTAGCTAGATTTTGCAGTTAGTCGAAAGGAATCTAAAGAGGATTTCCACTTTTATGACAAAATGTATGAAGTGAAAATAGCAGCAAAACAGTGGTTTTACAGCAGCTGCCCTAGGGGCGGCAGCACCCCAAGAAGCCAGTGGCCTTGCAAGTCTCCTGCCCCCGGAATGGTGCGATACAGGCCATGTTCATATCCTGCTTCTACTGCATGTTAGCATTATGTTAGGGCTTTGTATTATTTGTATGGTTTGGTAGCATAATGTTTGGGTCTGGGGGTGCTGAAAATATTTCCATATAAATTTATGGTGGTTGCTTCTGCACCATTCCAGAAAGCTTTCATAGGAACAATCTACTTTTGGAAAGCAGGGAAACCTGGACTTAGCCTTAAAAAGGAAGGAAGCGGGCCCTCCCTGGTGGTGCAGGAGGTTAAAGCACAGCACTGAGAAACTAAAGCCACTTCAGCATGAGTTCGATCCCCATCCTGGAGGCTATCCACATGGAGCGGCAGACCTCTCCTGACCTGCCCTCCCCTCAGCAATGTACTTCATCAATCTGCCTGTTCCGCTCCCCACTCTGTCTCTGGTGAATCCTCTCACCATCCCTGCACCTCTGGCCTGTACCCCAGCTCTGAATGCATAAATAAATAAATCTTTGAAAAAATAAAAAGGAAGGAAGCACTAAGACAGGGTACTACCCTGAGAAAATGAGGCAGGGTGAAAGGAACCAGACACAAAGGCCCTTTAATGGATGTGAGGTTCCGTTCTGGGGTGATGAGAATGTTTGGGGACTAGACTGAACCGGTGCTGCACCACTTGGTGAAGGCACTGGATACCACCGAACAGTCTGGCTCATTTTCTGTTCTGTGAGTTTTGCCTTCGTAATTTTTTTAAGTATTCAATGTGAGTAGTTACCCTGGCAATCAGACTCCATTTCCCAGGGTCCCAGCATACCCCTCCCCATCTTCTCCAACCAAGTTACCAGCTGAGGGACATGAAAGGAGAGAAAAACAAAAAACAAGCAGTCTTCGACATGGGGTCAAATGGCAGGGGTTTCTGGCAGGAAAAACAAAAACCTGTGATTCAGTGACCTCAAGTGGTAAATTGCTAACCCTTTCATCAGTGGAAGGAAAAGCAGTCCTGATACGTACTCCAGTGCTCCAAACCAAACTGCAACAACTCCCCACATCCCAGCCCCCACATTCTTTCTAATGGCGGAAAACCCAATCTGTTTTCCCTTGGCTAGCCTAGATATAGCTCTTTTCTTCAAAGGGTCAAAAGGTAAATCAGCCACATGCCCGCTTACAACTTGGTCCTTCCAGGAGGACCCAGGAGGTGGCCTGGAAGGAACACTCTGTAAGTGTTCAGACAGCTTGTGTTCCGAGTCTGGAGTAAAAAGGGTTCCCTATCTGGCCTCCAGCACCCAGCATTGAGCCTAAAACCTAAGAGGGGTACAATAATTGCACAGATGAGTGAACAAATCAAGAAGGACAGCTACATCCTTCAAGACCTCAGGAAATTGGGCATCCTTCTAAGTCAACCCAATCACAGGCAAATCTACCTTTATAACCCAAATGAGTGACTAGTACCTTCTGCTTCACAAAAGGACTCACTGCAGGGTACCTGCAAACAGTGACATTCCTTCATGCATTTAAAAGAACATTTGATTCCCAGACTTTGCCAGCAACAAGGGCCTAGCACAAAGCGAGGGGAGCTCCACAGGAGGTGCAACCCTACAGAAAATGGGGTCTGCTGCATCCTGTAGGGTTTCATCTCACTTTCTGCCCAGTGAGATTTCCACTAAGGGCGGAAGAGCACAATCTACATATAGTGAGTCGGGTCAGACAAATGTTCTAGGGTGAAAAGCAAAATGCTTTTTAATATTTTAGCCAGTCAGGAAAGGTAAAAAAAGAAAAACCAGAAGGCCATGCAAATGTGGTCAGGTTTCAGAGTTGGGACAGCAGAGCATCTCCAACTGCCAACCTTACAGCGCTTCCTCCATCACTATGCCAGGGGACAGACTTGCAGCGTGGGAAGAAGGTTAAAAAAGGAAATACTGGGCTAAAGGCACTGGAAAAGCCCGTCAGTGCTGGCCTCCCCGGGATGTCTGGTGGTCAAGGCCCTAGCTCCGCCCAGCTAGTTAGCATATTCCCTAACAGCCAGGCAGTTCTGCATTTAATTGTCACTTGATTTTGCTTGGCAGAGGTGGCCCCATTTTAACTAGCACTTCTTTCAACTTTTGACCCCCATTGTGAAACTATAGCTCTATGCGCATAAAGTCGAAAAACAGTATCAAGACTTGAAAGAAAGTGTTCAGCCTGGACACGCTAGAAAGTGCTAGAATTCTGCATCAGAAACTGGCATTTGAATTAGTTGAAAGGAGGCATCAAAAGGCTGGCTAGGAGTTGGGATGAGTTGAGAACTAGGAAGACAGAAAAAGGGTTTATTTCTAATCTTGTAACTACTTAAAATGGTTTCAACATTCAAATTCCTCTTGGATTGTTTAGGATTCAGGTAAACAGAGTCTGTCTGCTTACCAACGTGGTTAGAGACTGCATTGTTGGGGATGCAGCTATGCTAACCACCACTATTGTGAGACAGCACTGTTTGGGCCAGAGGGCTGCAAGTCCCTCAGCAGGGCAGTGTCTAGCTCAAAAAGGCCCTGGATTAGAACTGTGAGTCAGAGACAGTTTCATATGGTACTTTTTATCTTGTTGCAATGCACTGGATGTTCGTCTATGCCAGCTACTTCTGTAAATCAAGTGAAGTGTAGACAGCAACATGGTGCGTGTGTGTATGTGTGTGTGCGTGTGTAAGAGAGAGTATAAGCAGCACATGGCATGTGGGAGGATGACACAAAGGGTGGCTTGCCCTGAACCCTGCACCCCCAGTGATGGGTCAGCACTAAGGGGAACAAGAGCCATCATCGATCCAGGACAAATGACTGAATGAAAATCCCAAAGCTGCTTTGCTTCTCAAGGATGGGGGCCTGGGACCCCAGAGCTGGGGGAGGAACAGGCAGCCCTCCTGTCCCTACCCAGGGAGAACTTGGGTCTGGCTATGAGCTGTGAGACCTACTCATGGTGACAGTGATGTAGGGCGTTGGGGACTTGACTTGAGACCAGCTGGAGGTAGGCTGACTTATTCCAGGCTTCACTCACTCCCCCTCCAGCTTTTACTAGCATGAGGGCTGTACTCCAGCCAGCCCTCCTGCCACTGGACTCTTTAATTCGGGTTCTGTTTTTTTTCCTCCATCATCACTATTGTGTTAACTTTGTAGTATAACAAATGAGCCTGTGGTTGGGAGTCCAGAACTACATGGGGGTGGGGGGTAGTTCAGAGACTGCATGGGGGCCAAACCCTGGGTGAGGGGGTGTGGCCTTGGGCAAATCCTCAGTCTTTGAAGTCTCTGAGGATCAGTGATATGACTCTCAACTGCTCCACCCCTCACTCAGGCAGTCTGAAGAAGTAACTGCCAAAGCAAGGGCCACATTGTGATGTCACTGAGGAGAGTCCTACTGAGCATGCCTACATTAGACTTCCCTCCTTCCTCCTCCCTTCTGCCCTTAGCAGCACTATCCAACTGCAGATCAAAAGCTACTGTCCTCTAATGAGAACAGAAATGCATGCTGGTGAATGGTCCTTGCCATGGACGGAACACCAGACACTTTTCCAGAGCGGGCAGGTGAGGGAGGAAGAGAAGGGGATGGAAAGAGGAGGGACGTTGGGATGAGAGGGAACATCATAGTTACCACAGGCAAGGACTGTGAGAAATACAGTGTAGGGATGGGCCCCAAGGGTTCCACTTTTATAACCAAGAGGGAAAGTATGCAAAAAGAAACAAAAGCAAAATGCTAAGTGTCAAGTCTTTGAAACTGACATCCTACTCAAAGCACAGGTCAATGTGTCTTACGCCCAACCAAATCTATCAGCGGAGCAGCTGTCTCATGAGGGGGCCCACTGTACATACTCAGCTAGGAAGGAAAACCTATGAGGAGGGCTGACCAAGGCTCCAAATGAGCTGTTGGAGATGGAGACAGAGAGGAAAAGTGGCTCCTCAAGAGCTCAGGAGCTTGGGAATCAGAGCCCCAAGGATGATGGCTTTAGGCAGGTCTGAGTCATGCTTACCACTGAGGAAGCGCTTCATGGTGTCGCTGCTGGCCAGCTTCATAGCTGTCTGTCCTGAGTAGGTGGCTAGCGTAGGGTCAGCCCCGTAGGACAGCAAGAGCCACATGGTCTCTAGGTTGTCATTGACCACCGCATCATGAACAGGCCTGCAGAGGGGACAGAGAGTGAGGACAATACCTGCTATCTAGTCTTCAGGTTACCCCATCAGGGAAAAGTAAAATGAGGTGACCCCACGTAACAGGGCAGGCCAGCCACCTTTGAGCTGTACCCCACCCTGCCTTGCCCTGCCTTCTCCTCCTCTCTCTGCTCCTCTTTCTCTGCACTCCCATTTATCTCTCTATGTTCCTCTCAAACTTGGGACAGCCCCTAGGGCACAGTAGAACCCCACTGCTCCAGAGGTTGGGCAAAAATGGGGAGAAAATCCGCCGGAGGATACATGCAAAGGCTGGGCATGAGAACGGAAAACCCAGATGGCTGCCCCAGAGCGGGGTGAGCAGAGCAGCTTCATGCAGCAGGTGGGAGCCAAGCAGGGCCTGCATCCTCTGACTCAAGTTCCCTGTGTGCAGCTTATCTCTATTTTGCCCAAGACGTGGGCCTTTTGATAGAAGAAGATGGTGCAACTTCTTTAAGACATGGCAGGTGGCCATAAAAAGTGACTGGAGAGCAAATCAAGAATCATATCTAGGATGTGACCCTAACGTCAGCCTCCCAGCTCCCAAAGTCACGATTCTGCCTGAGACAGGTACCCCACCAGCATGATCTTAGCAGGGTCTAAGCAGTCTTCCTGGTAAAGCTGTGTCTTATGGGGTGTTCCCAGACAACCTCAGCCTCCCCTTGCTAACCAGCATGGACTGACAAGCCAGGAACCCATCTGTCTCCACCCAAACCAGTTCTATCTGTAGTCAGTAACTGAAATGCCTCCTGAAAAGGCCCCTCTACAACGCTCAGCCTGGCATGTGGCAAAGGTCAGACTGGGACAGGTTGTCTTGAATTGGGGTTCTCAGCTGGGGAGAAGCAGCCTTCTTGCCTTGTGCCATCCTGCGCGCTGCAGTTCACGTTGGCCCCGTGCTCCAGCAGGATGTTCAGGATGTCGGTCCAGCCCCGGGAACAGGCCTCGTGCAGGGCCGTGTAGCCTGCGTTGTCACGGTGATTCACGTCTTCACTGTCTTTCTGGAGACAGTAGAGAACAACATCCTGTGGGGACACAGACAGCCCCATGAGCAAAGACAGGCCCAACTCTGGAAAGCTTCCTAGTTTGGTCTGAGGCTCTTCAAATGTCCAAAGAGCCTCAGAGCCTGCCTGTAATTCCAGAGACTGACAGGCAAGGGTCAAAACTTTTGTCAAAGAAGTCAGTCCTGAGCTTCCATCACCAAAGTCTCAGCACTGAGGAAGAGCAGGAATAGTCATCTGGATGTGAGTTGTTGGGATGAGTCTTCAAAGAGGCTCACCTACCCAGAGCACATACTTTCAGGTTCTCAACTCCCTGAACACCAGGGACCTCGTCTGGAGTTTGCAAGGGAAATGAGGCATGTGGAGCAAGCACTGGCCCTGATGGTACTTGTTAAATACTATCCCTGGCTGGTTTTAATTGTTTTAAGTTCCATCCCCGGATGTTTCTCTCAGGCAGTCAGTTGCAGTCCTCCTCTCGAATCAGGATTGTTCCGAGTATAAGCCAGGGTGGCCACCTACCCCCACAGTAGTAATCAGTGTCCCTGAATTGAAAGGACAGGACCAGAGGTGGGACTCTGGGCCAGAAAGCATCCTAGCTAGCCTGGGGTGAAGCTGAGGAATAAGCCCAGAGGGAGTGGGGAGGCAGACTCTCAGACAGGGAAAGAGGCCAGCAGCAGACACCTGGCCTTCTCCTGGGCCCTGGTGAGATGGGTAACTTGACTGCCCTGACTGACAGCTAGCTCGCTGGTGGCTGGCAAGAAGAGACAAGTAAGTGAGCAAGCAAGCAAGAATGAGAGTGTGTGTATGCCTGTGTGTGCATGCACGCCTGAGCCTGCACTGGGGGTGCTGCCCCTGAATATAGGACCTGCCTCTACCTTCCTCACCAAGGCACATGTTCATCACCCCCACCCCTGCCCTGGTCCTGGTGGGTTCGCCTATGGTTTCCTGTGTGCTGGGTTGGCCCCAGATAAAACATAATTACCCTGGAGGGTACTGGATTTTCAATTATGCTCATCCCAAATTACCATTCCAGTGAGTCTGCATTCCCACCCACCATGCCAAGGTGGCCCCAGGGGCTATCTGGACAGCAGAAGGAGGCCAGCCTGGGTTCAAGCCCCAAATGCAGCCCTCCCTAGGCTACAGAGAGCCAATGGTGAGATGATGCCCCACAGATGCCCAGGCAATGGCATCCAGAGCCGGGGAGCAAAGTACGTACCTTGTAGCCAAGACGTGCAGCCCGTTGCAGCAGGGTCTCACCAGCATTTTTGTTCACTATGAGCCGACGAGCCTCTGGGGGAATCTGCCGAGTTGTAGGTGACTCCGAGGCTTCCTCTAGGCCAGCATTTTTGGACTTAGAAGGTGTGCACTGTTCCGTAGGTTTCATTGGAGTGAGAGATTTGGGAGATCGTGTCTTCTGCTGGTTCCAACGCCCTTTGCCCTGAAACACAGAGATGCAGAACTAGATCAGCATAAGTTCCCACATGGGCAGATGCTGACAGGCTCAAATCTTCAACCCCATCAAGGGGTGACAAAGGGGTTGGAAATCTGAGATTGAGGGGACATCCCAGCTTTTCTCAAGCACTCTGCATGCCTTCTTCACCTGCCTCGACTCCCACTTACTGAGGTTTTTTACAAGGCATTTCTATAAACAAGCAGAAGCAAATTCTGAGAGTAAAATGAAGTAGACTGCAGAAACACAGCCGCTGAAGCCTTCACTCTTGTTGCAAAACCTTCCCCTGCATCTAACCCTCCAGAGACCTTTCTTACCTCCCAACATCCCATGTCCCCAGATCACACCCTGCCCACCTGGTGCAGTGGACAGTGCTACCCACAAGACCTGGGGAAAGACCCCGCTTCTTTGAGCCTCACCTTGTCCCTTGCAGAGTCTTTGAGATAATGAACTGGAAAAGCCACAGAACAATGGTGGGTGCTCTACAACACTAGGCCCCTTGCCTCCTGAATAAGCACAGTGGGTCTCACTGAAGCAGAATGTTGAGAGCAAGTGCCTGTGCCACTATGGTATACTGACTCTATGAGGATGGGTAACTCATCTCATTAGTTCAGGGGTCTTCTGATCAGGAGGGGGGCTGCACTCAAGGATCTAGAACCAAGGAACTTCATCTGGACTTAAGGTAGATGATGAGATTCACAACTTGCAGCTGAAGTCATAATTGGATGAGACTTTGGAAAGCCTTGGGAAGGATGAGTGTACCTTGCTGCTGGGAGAGGTGCATATCACTGGGAGCCTAGAGGGCCAGCTGTGCCCTCATTAGATGCCACATTGGCCCCTGATGAAGCCCACTACCTGACAGTCATGCTCTTGCACTGGATAAGGCTGACCTGTGTAGCCAATAAGACACTGTAAAGATGATGCGTGTGACTTCTGAGGCTAGGTCCTACCTAAAACAAGACAGTGCGGTTTGGCCTTGCTTGCTGTTGGACCACTTTTTCTAGGGGAAGCCAGATGCCATGTCATGAGACACTCCAGCCCCTGGAGAGGTCCATGAGGCAAGGACAGGGTGCCTGCTGCCTGCAACAATTATCAACTCACCAGCCTATGAAGGAGCTACCCTTAAAGCAGATCCTCCAACCCCAGTCAAGCCTTCACATGAATGTAGCCCTGGCCATAACCTCATGGAAGACGCCCAAGCCAGACCCATCTAAATTGTTCCTGATTTGCTGACCTCCAGAATCTGTAGTCAACACGTGTTTTATCAGTGTTATCTAGGGCTGCTAAATATTAGGGCAGCCCGTTTACACCACAAGAGATAACTAATACATCTATTTATTCAAATTCCCAAGAACATCAAGGTCTTGCTGAAATCCTAAGCCTTCTATAACATTCTACAACTTTCTGGTCCCCGCTGCCTTCTCTCTCTCTGTACTTCTAGAATACCTCATCTGAATCACACGATCTAATCCCTGATACCTCACTGTCTTAATTCTTTTCATTGTCTCATAGGCCAGTCTCATTTCTTCTGCTAAGCATTTAAGCTCCTTAGGAGCAGGGTTCATAGTGTCTTCTTCTCTTTTGCTCCTTTTAGCATTTAATTCAAGCTTGAGTTAAGACATTTGTTGACATGTGCAGAGCATTGGGCAGGCAGAAAAGTAGTCTAGAAGGACATGAAGCCAGGAAAGGAGTGGCAGCAGAGAAGAAATTGCCAGGGCATTTGTTTCCTCTGGCAAGTCCCAAGACAAGGAGAGCTGCTTTCCATCTCCATCTTGAAAGGACAATGAGGTACAATTGCTAGCAGGAAAGCACAGCTATGAGTGTAGAATGCTGCTTTGTTGCAAGGAAGGTACAGGTGTATAATGGCAACACTAGAGGATGCTGGGTAAAGTGTCCAGGTTTTGGCTGGTCAAGCCAGGAGCCAAAGGGTGACTCTCCCTCAGGGGACCAGGGCAGAAGCAAGGGAGGTTGCCTAATAGGGGGAGGAACAAGAGCAAATCGAACCCCCTCTTCTCCCCCAGTCCTCTCTGGCTCAGAGTCCCTGTGGGAAGAAAATGCCCCAGGCTTTCATATTGTAGGCAGATTTTGGCTGAGTTGAGAATGAGAGGACAGTGCCCTTCCCCCCATCTTGCTTCCCACTACAAACTACAGTGCCACAGGGTAACCAGAGAAGGTGGTGGTAACTGGGAGAAAAAGAAAGGCTAGAGGGAGAAGAGGAGGCCTGGAAGGGACAAAACCTCTCCGGGAGGAACATTTCAGTGGACACTGCCAGGCAGAAAAATCAGACAGAAGCATTGGTGTGGGCTGCTGAATGTGAGGCGGCTGGTCACCTCTGTGTGGGATAGGGCCATCTCAGGAGAAGCAGAGGGGACAGCCTCCCTTACCCAAAACTACTCAGTTGCCTGCTTCCCTGTCTGGCCACCCGCTCCCCCAGTGTCTCCTGGATACAGACAGAAGCCACCCATTCAGAGTGGAGGCAAAGGGCAAGGGCCAGGGCCCCAGGGGCAGCCAAGCCTGTTTTACTTCCCAGCTCTGTTACTTGTGACCCCTGAGTGACTGCACACAGGTCCCTTAACCTCCTCAAACCTCAGTTTTCTCACCAAGAAATGAGGACAATGGTGCCTCCTCCCAACAGTGACTGTGGGAATTAAGGGAGGGCTCACTTACTAGAACCTTGCCACACAATGCCTCTGTCCTCTCATTCTCGACTCAGCCAAAAGCTTGAGGGTGCACACCAATCTCAGAGAGCACTTGATGATTCTCAAAGCCTTTGATGTTCCTTGCCATCTTTGTTCCCCCAAGCACTCTTGGGAGATAGGAAGGACATGGAGCACTATCTCTGTTTTTAAAGATGAGGAAATAGGTTTGAGTACCCTGTTTGAGCTAGATCCAGACTGCGGAGGAGGAAAGGCAAGGAACAGCAATAGCACCTGGGCTCCCCCTCTGCTGGTGCCATTCAGGGATCCCTGTTCTGGAGCTTGAAAGTCATAAGAATCACAAGGAGCAAAGCAAGCCCAATGTGACTTCTTTTCTCATTGTTTGTTTTCAAAGACAAATGCACACATGGATATACACTTGAAGCTAGCATTCACTTGTCAGTAAAGCTTAAAGCTCACCCAGGAAGAGGATAGTGTCAGTTTTCAAATCAGTGGGGAACCCAGCACCAACATTATGCACGTCAGCCCCAAAACTCAATGTCAGTTTTGAACTGGGGTTCTAGAACACTTGCCTGGCTACCAATTAGTGAATGTCACCTGCTCTTCTGCTTCTGTGAGAAGAAAAAGAGTTGGGGAGTGGGGCATGGGAAGAGTGGCCATAACTAGGCCCCAGTGGAATTCCTTCAGACCCACCCTCGAGAGCATCCTTTGTCTGGACATCAATATCCTTGCTTCAACAAGTTGTTTTCCACCTTGATTGACTCAGAAAGCTCCCTGATTGGGACAAAGGCTTCTTGATTGGGTGTTAACAAGCTATTCAGCCTAATATCTTGCCATACTTTTTAACTCTTCCTTAACTCAAGAGATTGAAGAGATGTCAAGGAAAAGTTACTGAAGGCCAAACCCTATAGTTTGTAAATCCTTATTGTTAGCTCTGACTTTTATTCCCATTTCTTAAATTGAGTCCCAACCCTTCTAGAACTAGTTTAAAATACTTTTAATAAATATGGATTCATTTGATACTCTCTACCCCTCACATTCAAGCCCTGCCACCCACCGCACTCCCTGCTCCATAGCTTCCCTCCCTGACAACACACAGCATACCTTTGTCTCTTCAGAGATGGTGCTCATGTGCTTGGTCTTGCATTTTCGTTTTCCTGATGGCTTTTCTGAATTTTCAAGGCAGGCTGGCTCCTCCAAGTTATTTGGGAGGAAACCATTTGGTGAATCTGAGATCCCCTGGGTTTTGTTGGGCAAAGGAAGGTTCCTGTTCCTGAGGCGGTGCTCTGAACTTTGGGAGGAAGCCTTCTGCTTACGGGCCTTTAAATCTGAAGGCAACAAAACAAAACAAAACAAAACAAAACAGAAAACAGAAAAGGATGGGTGTCAGGAAAATGGAACACAAGAAAGCAATGCCTTCCTCTAAGATGAATCAGAGGACTCTGGGGCTTCAATCTCAGTACAAAGCTATGAACCACCAGCTACCAGTATCTAGTGTGGTGCTGACTCTTCCACCAAATGCTTCTGGAATGGACTCTGTACTTCAACAGCAAAGTCCCTCCTATAAAAGCAGGAGGCAACTCCCAGCCCTACCAGCAGGAGGCAGCTCAGCTAGTTGTCCCTAGATGAGGGTAATTTTTTTATTATATATTTTATATTTTTACATCATTCTTCATGTTATGCATTTTTTCATCTAGATGAGGGTAATTTTCCCCACACACCAGAGCAAATCAGAATTTTCAGCTTCCTCCCCTGACCTATCCCTATGACCGCCCCCTTACCACCTACCCCCGCCCCACATCTTTGTCTCTTTCTTCATACCAATATGAAGATGTAGTAGCTCTGTGGAAGTGAAGCATGAAGTGTACTGGGGTGGGGAGTGAATGGTGGAAGGCATCACTCATAGCCTGAGCCCTACCCATCTAACTGCCCTGTTGGTCACTCTCCGAGCACACCAAGTTCGAAGCCACAGAGACTCCTGAAGCCAAAAGATACCTGAATCCTACTTAGCTGGTAGCCCATGGCAGAGTCCAAGTCACTGGTGTCACTGGAACACATTCGGCAACATCTCTGATTCTAGACACAGCTCACTGAACAAAATGCATTCTAATTTCAAAAAGGTTTGCTGGGAACTCCATTAATAAGAACCTTATGCCACAGGGCCAGTCCTTACCCCCACGTGTAGAGGGAGAAAGACTGTGTGGACCCATATCTCGGAATGCAGAGTTACATGACCACTGCTGGATGACTGAGGTGAGTGAGAATCCCCGAGTCTCAACCTCCATCTCTGTCAAATATAATCTAAATCACAGGACTGGTCAGAGAATTAAATGCAGTAAACAGACAACTTTTGCCTAGTTAGGTATAAACTATTTAGGTGGGACCATGCCCATGTTTTCTTTATCTCCCCCACAGGACGGACTGCCATTCCCCACAGGTTATGTACGGCATGTAGCAAAACACCAGTGTATCTGTGCAGTGAGTAAATGTGGCCTCCGTCTCCAGTTTGTGAAATGAGGGGCTGGGCAAGAGCCAGCCATTCTCACTTTGCTCCCCGTGACCTTGACATGTGCACCCGTGTGTGACACCGCTGGAGGCAGGTCAAATTGGGAACCATCATCACAGTACCAAGAACAGGCCGTAGGTGAGGCACAGTTCTTACAAGGTCTACTGCCTTACCACTCCTTTTTTCCAACTAGCTCCCGCTCACTAGTGGGTCTCCATGTCAAAGAACTGCTGTGATAAGTGGCTGCTAGTAGTACTTCCAGGCCCAAACTTTCTAAACCAGGAATTTTGCTATAACAAGTTTGGGCTGAGCCAGAAGAGGAAGGGGCAGAACTGTGCCTGAAAGAACCTCAGGAAACATGGGGGAAGCTGTATTACAGCATCCGATGTCACAGGAAATGCAGCAGCCCCTGCCCAGTTTACTCAAGGCAGTGTATTTGACTGTGGAGAAACAAGAGTGCCACAGTAACACGAAAGGAACAGAGAGTGGAGGCAGCCAGGCGAGAGTAGTAGTGTTCTTCCTGTCTCCTCTGCAGGTCGAGAAGGGAGGCTCCCAAGTCTGGGAGAAAAGGAGATGTCATGAGGTTCAGACAGGAGTAAGGTGACCTGTCTAGTCTGGCCTTTTCCTGATTTTCTGATATTGACCTGAAAGGCAGTATGAGGAACTGACAGTAGGTTAAGGCACAGCTCTTCAGAAGGCCAACTGTCTTGCCGCCCCTTCCTCTCAGCTAGCCCCAACCCACCAGTGGACTGGAATAGCTGAAGGGGGTTGGAGCTTTCTGAGAAGAGAGATGTTTTCCAGGCAAATTCCTGCATGAGAATTACCAGCAAATCTGGAGGAAGATGACCAGACCATGTGCAAAGCCAATTCCCTTACACACAGCATGGAAGGAGAATGACCTACTTTTCAATGACTGGAACTCATATAGGATGTCTTGTTAAGTGGTGTTCTCCATGTTCCTGGAGAGGTCTAAGCAAAGGCTAGCTAGCTACTTGTCAAGAGTGCTTTTGAAATTTCTGCAGAAGGTAGAAAGTTGGACCATAGCAACCTCGAAGGTCTTTCTGGTTCCCAAAGGTGTTAAGTTCCATTAAGAAGTTTCCAAGCTTTGAGGAAACCACCTCTCTCTGGAGAAGACTGGATGATACAAAAGCCCCTCCTTGTCCTAACACAAAGTGGATGAAGCCAAAATCTTGACAGCTCATTCCTGACCAATCCATTATGGCTCTGGCAGAAAAAAAGGGAAAATTTTCCCACTCTCACATAGTTGATGAAAATTAGCTCACTTACTCTCTGCAGTGTATGGGGTAGTTTTCATAGATATCTCTACTTAAAACAGAAATGAGGTTTAGCCTTCTTTGCATTCTAGCAGACCCAGAAACTATAACCCACTCAGAACTAATTCAGTTCTCACTAGTGACACTGCAGATAGTTATTGGCAGTTCAAGATGAATCCATCATAGGAGAAAATTAATTATTGCTTCAAGGGCAGAGGTCAGAGAAAGAATCGAGGAACAGAGGTGTTCTTATGGAACCCAGAGATGTGTTTTTTGCTCATCTAGAAATCCACTCTAGGAATGAGGCTGAACGATACTTAGCAGAACATACTGCTATTTGCCTCTGTAACAGTCTGTGCCTCCATGATTATATTTTATAGCATCTGATGTAGCCAAAGAAAGCCTGGTTTTTCCTTTGGGCTGCCTGTTTTTCCAACTCAGGTCCAATAAAAAACGATGCCACCTTAGGTCACCTCAAGCTTCACTCCACCGCTTAGAACCTCTGTGGCTTTAACCAAGAAAGCAAAGTTGTGCCCGCTTCTATTCCAAGTTCTTCTGTTGGGCTGAGGAAACCATTGTACTTCTTTTTAGTTTAGGGGCTGGAGGCGTCCCAGGAAAGGCAGCCAATGCTCTCTTTCTTCTTGAACCCAGGATTCTAGGAGAAAGAACCCAACCTCCCGAAAGGCCCGACTCCCTCAAGCCAACCAGAAAACTTTCTGGAATTGAGTGGTCCCAAGCCAAGGATGTCACTGTGGCCTTGCCCACAAGTTCAGACTTTTACATAGGAAATTGGAGGGTTCAGGCCTTCATGTCCTCAGCTCACCTGTTGGCCAGTCCAAACTCATTCAATCTCAACCCCAAGCCAAAACCTTGGGACCAGAGTTGAGTGACCCCCTCTGGCAGCTGGAGCTCATAGCACAAGGTTTCTATGGGTGCAGAGGCTGGCGTGGAGAAGGCAAGATGCCCGAGGGTCCCCAGAAGCCAACGTCACTGTGGTTTGGGGACAGGTGACAGCAGCTCACTGGGGCAGCAGCCCCTGGCCGGCCTTACCTGATCTCCCTTTCCGCCGCTGCTCTTCTTCTTGCTCCGTCAAGTACTCTCCAGTCTGATATTTTCGATTCTTCTGCCGTTTCCGTTTCTTCCGCTTCATCAGGCCTTCCTCCTCATCTTCCTCCTCCTCCTCGTTGGTGTCCCACATTTGCCGGGCAGCCTCTGTTCTCCAGGGCATTTCTCGGGCTCGCCACAAGTGCCTGCGGCCCTGGCTCAGCAGAGTCTTGTCCTGGGCATGGTGACTGCGATATTGGGTGTCCCGTTGGGTCTTTCTCATCTTTCGACGCTTAGTTGGGGTGGGAGTCACCTCCTCTTCCTCCTCTGTAGGGAAGACTTCCTGGCTTCCCATGTCACTGTCTGCCATACCAGCAAAGGAGCTACAGATGCTTCCTGTGGATGGGATGTACAGAGGTCGGTCAGGTACCTCTTCAAAGGACAAAACGTAGGGTGTCGAAGCAAGTGCCCTGGATTAGGAGTTTGAAGGTCTGGGTTCAAGTTCAGGCTGTGCTGTATACTCTGGGAAAGTTCCTTCATTTCTGTTTCCTCATCTATAAAACTGTGATACTGTTGTCTGCCTTACTGACCTCACAGAACTTGTTCGAGGCTCGAATGAGGTAATTTGCCCATGAGCACTTACAGAGTCCAACATACCACACAACTATCATGTATCAGAACCTCACACCCTTCCTCATCCATGTTGTGCTAATTTAATTCATTCCACAGACTTACTTAGTGCTTACAAGGTGTTAAGAATTGTGTGAGGGGAAGGAGAAGACCACAGGCCCTTGCCCTTTAGAAAGTCAGGGTTCAGCAGAAGGCAAGGGAGGGCAGGTTGACACGCTGCACCCCCACCCCTAATCACTCGCTGTATGGCAAAACAAACGTGCTGACAGCCACCCTGCAAAAGCCGAATCATCACAGCAGAAGTCTCAGGAAAAGAAAAGCAAGAAGAAATCCCTTTCCAGTGACACTGCTGGGTAGTCAGGCCCCAGGCACCGCAGCAGGGCCCCTTCCTTTCTACTGCCCCACCTCCTATTGAGTGGCCAAGAGTCCAGGGGTGGAGCTTTCCCCCTGGCACCTGTCCCACCCCATTGCAGCTGTTCTTAACTGCTGGGCAGGCTCTCCCACTTCCTTTCCCCACCACCCCAGGATGACAGATGGCACCTTGCCTGCCCTCCTCGGCCACCCTACCAAGAAGCCATTTTCCTCATCATCACTGCTTCATTCAGCTCTGTTAACGATAGAAGCCCAAGCCTAAATTGGTCAGTTTAGCATTAGAGGAGAGTTGACATCTTCCTTGGAAAGAGCTTTGAGGTGCCACCATCTTTCCCCCAAGGCCTGGCTATTAATTTGATAATCCCCAAACCCAAGCAAGGTCAGAAGAATAAAGAAATGGTTCGAGGCAGAGTGGCCCTTGACCAAAGCTTCGAGTCATTAGGACCTCTTAAAGAAAGCAAAATAGCCAGTACACTTTCCATTATACAGACCAGGCAGGGAACAAAGTGTTCTGGTTAATCTAATAGTGTGGTTAACACGGAATCATCATTGAGATCACACAGGGATCATCAATTTCCAAAGAATCAAACACAATACAATGTGTTTAACACTAAAATGAGACTGGCCATAATGGAATCACTCTTTGATGATTCAAAGGACACTACAGAATTTTTCAAGGCCTGTAGGCCATCATTATAAGCCCCAATTACCACTGTATATTCCATGTGCTGATGGGCCAGTTAATAGGATGTCAGATAACTGAATTTACACTGTGCCCTGCTTGCTCCTTCTAGTCCTTCTACATGGTATTCTGGGAGAACTGGGGTAGCCAGCTCTAGCACCACATACAGCATGGAAGTTACCGACAGCGGTGGGGTTGGAAAGGGCTATGCGCCTTCAGAAATTGGAGGCTGACCAATACATATTCAGGGGATCAAGTGTGATTCTGCCTAACTTTGATGACACATGACACATAGTGCAACAAGACTGAGGCCCAGAGGTTAATGGTCCATGCCTGCAATTGGACCCCATAGTCACGAAATATCACAGATTTAAGTAGAACTAGTTTTCCTAAGTGGCACAGCCCTTTCCTCTTCCCACCTTCCCCAACAAGAATCATCTAATCTCTGCTCTGAAAAGTTCAGCAAATAGTTCTAAAATCCTGGGCACTGGCCCCTCCACCCTGCCTGGGCTCTCTTGTGTTTGCAAGGAGCTGAGCATCTTGACACAGTGAATCAAATTCCCAAATCTTCACTGCACCAAAGGCAAAATCGCTCAAGCAGCTTTCTACCTCTCTTTGCAGAGAAGTGCCAAGCTGGGCCACGGCCTCAGACTCACTCACCAGACTGGCTGCGTGTCCGGGTGCTCAGAACCACAGGGATGAAGTCCCGGAAACTGCTCTTTGCTTTCTTTTCCAAGGAGCCTGGAATGATGTGTGGTTTCATGCAGAAGGGAGAAACATCACAGTCAGAGTCTAAGCCCAGAAAGTCCACCCATGAGGCTCAGGCAGGAAAATCAAGGCAGGCTCAAGGCTTTCCTGGGTTACCTTCATTAGTGCCCCTGTGTTGCAATCACCTGTGTCTTCGTATGGAGCAAGGGGGTGGGAGGGTGTCAAACACTAGGTTGTGGGCCATTTTTGCTGACTCTAAAAACGGTAGTGCACAGAATCAATTTACCAATGTGCCAGAAAATAGAAGGCTGGCTGTACCTCCACAAAGTTATAAGTGAACAGGAGCAAGGCAAGTTGCCAGAGAAGGGCAACCTCAATGAGTCTTAGAACACTGAGCGAGGCGGGAAGATGGGAGCAGGGAGGAGAGAATGAGGGAAACTGCAACATAAGAAAGGACTTCAGAGGCAGGTCATGCTGGACAGGCAAGGCCATGAAAAAAGACAACTGTGGGCAGGAAGACTGGAATTTTTCTCACTGATGGGGATGCTGAGAACTATTAGTGGCAGAGCATACAGGTTGAGGACACACTGCCCCACCCCAAACATCCTGTATATCCCTAAATAAAAATAAGGGTTTAGGATTTCTCTAAACCTTTCCAGTCAGCAAGCTAGCTTTTTATTTTTAACTTTTCATAATGCAGTTTTTAAATATACCCAAAGGAAGAGAAAACAGTGTAATGGACTGCCATTCTGCTGTTTTTGTCTCAGTGCTCATTAAACTTGCTTCTTTTCTGAGTCTAGACCCATTGCAGGGTACCAGATAGGCTACTCTTACAGGACTGACTTTTGTCCTGTGAAAAACCACCTCCTTCTGCCTTCAGAACTGGCCTTATTCTGGCCACCAGAGTGAGCAGAAGAAGCCTCTACTACCATCTCCCTTGCCTTTTTCAGAAGTGTCAATTCTCTCTTCTTTCCACAGTGTGGGAATCTCACTTTTCTGCTCAGTTGCAGAGCTCCTGCCCCGTGAGTTGCCACAAGGATCCCTGGGAGGCCCAACCCAGAGGGCCAGGATCTCTGGAGCCTACCTTCCTCGTGGCCATCGGCTCGTTTTCCTGGAGACTGGGTCTCTGGCTTTGTTGGCTTCCGGTGCTTGTGCTTTACCCTGACTCCATTGTGCTCTTTTCCTGAATCTGAAGCCCCCCTGGGGCTTTTCTTGGTGGGTTCCTTGGGGTCACTAGGCAACTTCCGGAACTGTGGAGAGGTAGAAAGAGTCAGATCTGAAGTCTCTTTTGCTTCCTGAGAAAGGTCTCCTAATGTAGAGACATGGGCCCCCATTCTCCCACATGGACTGAGCTGCCCAGAGTGGGGGGCCAGAGAAAAGGGGCTGCGTGCTGCCTTTCACAGTGGGTTACACAGGTTTTTCTTCCCCAAATGAATCCAGTGCCCTAGCTAATCCCCATAGGTGTTTACACCCCATCATTTTAAACAGGTTTACAAAGTGCATTCACAAGTAAACACCCAAAGTCATTTTAAAAGGTGCAAAATCAGGGCCCATACTCCACACTCAAACACTAGTAGAAAGATGAGCAGAAAACAAAATGCCTCTTCTATAAGTTGGGAGACTACATTGTTCTAATAACTTTTCTGTGAATGGTACTGACACCAACAACTGAAATAATTCTCAAAGTGGGCCAATTCAAGAAAAATGGTCTATTTTCATGTATAAATTAATACCAGAAAATACTCAACTAAGGCAAGAAAAGCTTGAAGGAACAATTCAAACTCCCTATACTTAAGAAAGGCATCAGTAAGACTGAAAAAGATACCTGTACCTCCATGTTTATTGCTGCTTTATTTACAATTGGAAAAACATGGAAGCAGCCCAAATGCCCACAAGTAGATGACTGGATTAAAAAGATGTGGTACATATATACAATGGAATATTACTCAGCAACCAAAAAAGAGAAACACATGTCTTTTGCAGCAACTTGGATGGAGCTGGAAAAGATCATGCTTAGTGAGATAAGCCAGAAAGAGAAAGAAAAATACCGGATGGTTTCACTCATAGCAGGAGTATAATGGAGCAGGCGAGAAAATAACAAAAATAATGAACAACCAGAGACATTTTGCGGGGGTGGAGTGGGGAATGGGATCAAAAACGGGGGTAGGGAGGTGGGGAGGGAAATGCACAGGATTATGGTGATGGCACACGGGTGACTTGGTGATGGGAAACCCGCGGGGATTACAATTGAGATGGAAAAAAAATGTACAAAATGATGTAAAAATAAACTTTTGTAAAATAAAAAAAGAAAGACATCAGTAAAATGTGACTTTATACTGTAGGAATAGTTTTAACTTTTCAAAATGCTCTTCTCCCTGTGATTTCATTTTATCTTCCAACAACCCTGAGGTGTAGCCAACGTCATCCACAATGAACAGATGTGGAAACTGAGGCTCCAAGACAAGAGCCTAGACCCTGCTTTTTCCAAGTCAATGTACAAATGTAGCTATACTTCCAGTGGCTCAGCGGTTGCTACTTGCCAGGCAAACCTGCACGTTAGTCATTTGTACCTGCAGGGAGAAAATGGCCAAGTTGGGACTAAGACACAGGGCTCCTGGCTCCTCGCGGCACTCTTTACACCAGCTCCCACACCTCTCCTTCCCTACTTGTGTCCTCCACTGTTTTGTGGCTCCGCCTCGTTCACACCTGCTGTTTGGCACCTCAGATGGACAGGTACAATGGTTTTGTTTACACAAGGCAAGGATACCTTAAGCCTAACAGTCACATTCTCACAAATTCCAAGGTCTCTCTAAGCTACTAAACAAGAAATAGGACAAGGTAGTATCCTGGGAGTACAGAACAATCAAAATGTTTTAACAATGAAAGCAAGCCCCAGGAAGAAAGAAAGAGTTGTTTTGCCCCTAAGAAGACCCACATACCACCTTCTAGGCTATCACTGTCTAGCTCCAGCTCAGGGGATAACAGCTATTGATAGAACATTTTCAGGAGGTGGGGGATTTCTCTCAGTTCTCTAGGGCTGGGAAGTTACCACTTCCCATCCAATACCAGAGGTTCCTACTATCTCTGATGAGCTCCTTCTGCATCTTACCCAGCAGAGGGCTGAGCTGAAAGTTCAAGTTCTGCTCCTTCTGATTGTTGCCAGTTCCTGCAAACCAAAGTGTTAGGAGAGTGAAGTAGGGAGGAAAGATGAAGACGAGGAATAGCTGCTTAAAATCTGACCTTCAACATAGGAAAACTATTTTAAATCAGGGGAATAAAGTTAAACTCACATAAATTTGATATATGCTATTTATTTCTGAATATCATTTTAGCAGGCTCTTTCAAGCATAGACCACTAACTTTTACTTCCTAAGGTAGACAAAACAAGTAAAACTAAACATCTAGAAGGAATTTCTGTCTGTATCTTTTCCAAGAGCAGCACTGGGAGTCAAAATATATTGTATACTCCAACTTAGGCAAAAAGTTGAGAGGACTGGGGGACCACGTTAGATGAGTATTCCAGTTAACAGTTTTGAAAGGTTTTCCAAAGAATTTTCCAAAAGGTGAAAAAAAAATAAAATACACCCAGTACCAAATGAAGCAGAACTCTCTCTTTGCTGATGATTCAGGATTCCATGAGGCTTTGGGGCAGGTGGTAGCAGAGACAGGAGACTATTCTGAATCTCAGTCATGCCCTGACTGACTGAGTTTGCAGTTTTTTGCTTGGTGCATTTTCTTTAAGCCACCTCGGAGCTCAAGAGCACACAGTGAGAGTGGCAGAACGGACTGGCGTTGAAGTTCATTTGTGAAATTGGCATTACTGGGGCTGTTCCTGTTGGTAGAGCTTACCCAACCTCACCAGTAGAAAACCCAGAATAAACCTTGGGGCTGTTTTGAATTGATGCCTGATCTTAGTTTGTTTATCAATGGTTTGTTTCTCAAGAAAATGGGACATGAGGAAAGAAAAGCCTGAGTTATTTGCTCTCCTGGAAAATGGACATTTACTAAATCATTACAGACTGCTGCAAGATACCTGACGCTGTGTATTTATTCTCTGTCCTCCACATCTGGGTTCTCTGGACCCAGTGAACTGTTCATCTGATAGAGGAAGAGACAGTGCCTGCCTGGCATCAAGTCATCTCTAAGAAATAAGCTCCGTGACAGCAGAGACCATGTCTATTTTGTTGGTTAATACTAATGAAAACAGCAGACACTAATACTTATATATACCATACAATTCACTTATTTACATGTACAACTGAATTGTTTTTAGTATAGTCATAGTAGTCAGAATTGTGTGACTGTCACCACTGTCAGATTCCAGAACTTTTTCATCTTAAATGGTAACCATGTACCAGTAGAAAACCCAGAGTAAAGCTATCACCTCCCAACTCCCCACCCCCTACAGCCTTCAGCAAACATTATTCTATTTTCTGTCTCTATCAATCTCCCTGCTCTGGACATTTGCCATCATTACCTCATTTATTCTTTACAACAAGCCCTATGAGCAGGTACAATTACTGTCTCACTCTAGATGAGGAAACTAAGGACCAGAGAGATTAAGTAACTTGACAGATATCACACAGTTAGGAAGAAATAAGGTTAAAATTCAAACTCAGAAACTGCCTAGCTGCAGAGAACACACTCCTCAGCAGAAACCTGTACCTGTATCGCTGCCTGTTAGGGACAGGCACACAGTAGCTACTCAAAAAACATTTGCTAAATGTTCAGTGAAACAGCTATACATAATGAGTGTGCAAGATAGTGTGACACAGCTGAAGAACATGGACTTTGGAGTCAATGACTGGGGTTGGAGTCCTAGCTCTTATTTAGTAGTTGAGTAACTCTGAGCAAGTTACCCACTTAGTCTCTGTGTCCTTCATTTTTAAATTTGTGAATTGGGTGTAACAGTCACCTCACAGGATTACTAAGTATTAAATTAGATAAGGTGTGTAGAAAATACTTGGTAGGAGTCCAACAAATGGTAACAGCTATAAAGACATGAACTCTCATCATTATTCTTTAAAAAAAAAAAAAGAGTTATTTTGGGCCCTCCTTGGTGGTGCAGCAGGTTAAAGCACAGCACTAAGAAGCTAAAGCCACTTCAGCACTAGTTCAATCCCCAACCCGGAGGTGACCCACATGGCGCGGCAGACCTTTCCTGGCCTGCCTATTATTCCCCTCAGCAGTGTACTTCATTGGTCGGCCTATTCTGTACCCTGCTCTGTCTCTGGTGAATCCCCTCACTACCCCTGCACCTCTGGACTGTACCCCAGTTCTGTATGCATAAGTAAATAAATCTTTTTTTTTAAAGTTATTTAATTATGCATACAAGAACTGGGGTCTAGGCCAGAGGTACAGGGGATGGGGGTGGAGGGATTCACTAGAGACAGAGTAGGGAGCAGAACAGACAGATCTATTGAGATACACTGCTGAGGGGAGCAGTGGGTGATACAGAAGAGGTCTGCTGTGCCATGTGGGTCAGCTTCTTCTCTGAGGATTGGACTTATGCTGTAGTAGCTGGTAATCACTGAGCTTGACATCACTGAGACTTTAATCCTTGGGCCACCAGGGAAGCCCCAACATTATTATTCTTTTTTTTATTATTATTACAAAAGTTTATTCTTACATCATTTGTACATTTTTTTTCCATCTCAATTGTAATCCCCGCGGGTTTCCCATCACCAAATCACCCGTGTGCCATCACCATAATCCCGTGCATTTCCCCCCCCCCCCGTTTTTGATCCCATTCCCACTCCACCCCCACAAAATGTCTCTGGTATATGGTTGTTCATTATTTTTGTTATTTTCTCGCCTGGTCCATTACATTATTATTCTTAATAACACTTGAGCAAATGTAGTATATATATTCTCTACCATAACTTATTTTTCGATTTGGCATGTCTCTGCTATGCAGAGGAAGTTGTGATATCACTGAAAAAACCCACTTGAACTCTATCCCTGGGGTTCTGAATCTGGAGTCCATGGGTGAGCTCTGGGAAGGGGTAAACCAATGAATTCTTAAAACTATTCACAAAATTCTGAGGTCACATTTCTGGGGACAAGATCTATAGTTATCAATAGCTTCTCAAAGAACTATAGGATCCAAAAAGACTAAGATTCTGCCACAAATTCATGGTGCTCTCACAAGCAATCTGTTCATTAGTATAGATCACCATCTAATCTGAAGGCTATTAAACTTCAAATTGCTTCATATTTTGGATAAATTCTAGCCCTCGACTGCTTCAAGATCCACTTGGATCCCCAGTGGCTTCCAGATTCCCTCTGGATTCAAGTCAAGCCCCCTTGAGGCCCACTGTTTTTGCCTGGAACACTGCTACCATCCCGAGCCTATGATACCCAGAATAAAATGTGTATCTACCTTGCACAGCAAACTCCCAGTGGGCCAAAGCCCAAAACCCTAAGAATTAGAGAGTAAGAAATGGCAGATGAGCCCAGAAGTCAAATTGGCTCTAGCACCATAAAAGTCCAAACAAACCCTGAGTAGACACCCCTAGTGACACAGAGAATGGCCCTGTCAAAGGCCTCTTTTGTCCCTGGGTCCCAAAGTCTCAAGGCCAAAGGTCACCTCATAAAGGAAAGGGAAAATGGTTATGTAAGGAAGGATCTGTTCATTGATTTCCTTCACCAATACATCCTTCTTTCCAACCTCTTCTGGGACAATGTCTTCCCTAACCTCAGGGACAAATCAGTTCCCACACACTACAAAATACAAGCCAGCCCCCCCCCCCACACTCAATGCTAAAATAACATTTACGGAGAATGAGACCCAGCAAGGGGAAGGCAGGTCATTGTTCACTATACACAGGCCTTCCAACCCTTCTGTTCACAGAGCTACTTAGAATACTACCACAGGCAAAGACGAGGTTGCTATCTGCAGGACAGAGCAGCCCACCAGATCTTGGCCCTGCCCTCGGTCTCAGTCCAGAACTCACCTTGGGTCCATGGGAACTCCGGGCTATGATCTTGGCTTGTGGCTGCTGCTCCTCACCATCCTTCTCTTTGCCACACTTCATTTTCTTGGGTGGCAGAGATTCAGTCACCCCATCAGTCACAACCGAGTCTGGCTGCCACTTGTTCTTGCAAGCAAAGACACCTACACTTTCCTGTTTCACTCGAGCCTGCCCAGTCTTATTCCGAACTTCACCTAGGCCCCTCTGGGGAGTGCCTGGGAGACCATCGGCCCGGAAGCAGGTGGCTAAATTGAAGACCACATCACCATCTACCTTCTCCATTTTCACCCGCCCCAGGTCCACCTGGTTTCCAAGCTGTGAAAGGTCTGTGCTGGAACCCCTCTTGCTGCTCGGGACCACATCCAAGATGAGTTCCTTGGGGCGGCTGTCATGAGGTAGCAAAGGCAGCTCAGGAATCTTGCGCAGGTTTTGGGGGGTGGCCAGGACCAGCTCATGGGACATGTAGGTGGCCAACACTTGATTCTTAGGCTTTGTGTCTCCTGCCAGCTTCAGGCCACAGGCCCCCTGGGAAGATTCCATCTTAGGACTGCTGTCAGGACAGAGGTGGCTCTCGGATTCCTCAGGCCCCTGATTTACTCTTAGGTCCCCACCACTGGGCTGAACAGACAGCGCCAAGGTCCCTGTCTGAGGGCTGAGAGTCAGGAGGACAGGATTGACTTGTTCTTCATAAGGCTTGGCAGCGATTCGACAAGTTTTGTTCTTTGTACCAGTGTCCTGCTCTGGAGCAAAAGGGGCCCCAGGTCGTGGCTGCCCCTCGGGAAGTCCATGCATAGCTTCACTGGGGCCAAGTGTTGGCACACCAGAAAACTCAGAAACAACGCTGGTAGGCCTGATGGGTACCCCCTGACTGGGGGTGAGCTGGCCGGCACTGGAAATGCCAATGGAAAGCAAAGATGCTTGGTGGTACGGTGACCAGCCAACAGGCAGGACCTGGGTGCTGGTGGGTTTTCCGTTAACTGAACACCGTGGGTAAATGTTTGCAGGTCCAGCAGGCTTCCACAGAGAGAGCTCCTTGGTTTGGCACCCTGGCAACCCAGGGGCAATGCGGGCCGGGGTGTAACGTTTGACTGTGCTTGGCTGCCCCTCAGTCCCAGCCTGACTACCCTTCTTGCCACAGGGGGCCCCAGTGCTCTTAGGCTCTCCTTGATCAATGATGGAAATAGGCTCCTGCTTAGGAAGATGGCGGGGGTCTCGGTTGAGCCCCAGGTTGGGGTCTTTATTCAGCAGCAGGGATGCAGGCACTGGGTTGGCCACCCCCACATAGGTTCCAGGAATGGTGCTGATCAGTGCAGTTGAGTTCTTTACCCAGGTGCTCGGGTCCCCGTTCCTCACAATCTCTGGAAAGATGACGAAGGGTGAGGAAGTAGAGCCCAGACAAGAAGTGACATTACTGCCAGCTGCCTGGGTTGTGCGCTGAGACCTGGATAGGACTGTGGAAAGGAGGGCCTTGCTGCTGGTGTGCACAGGGGTCAACACAGGCATCGGGGGTGTCTTGCGCTGGTTTGGCAATGGAAGCTTCTGACGATTGGACTTGGAGGAGAGGTCGAGGGGCATCTCACTGCACTCAGGGGGAGAGGCCATCTCTCGCTCCAGCTGTGGAGGAGACTTAAGAGGAGAGAAGGTAACGGAAGTCCCTTCCGTTTGCTGCTCGGCATTGCCTGGCATCTTGGCGGGGTGTGGTGGGGCTGAGCTGACACTAGGCGCTGGCAGCAAAGGCTGTGGAGTTGGAAGTGCCTTGGCAGAAGCAGTGGAGATGGAAGTATCTGTCAAAGGCCCGGAGGCCCCATCAGGGGCAGACTGGGTGCTGGTGCTGCCAGATGGGGATGCACATGGGAGCCTGTTCACTTCTAGGGAAACCAACTTAGAATCTGAAGTCAGAGGCCGGGCCACAGAAAACGCATATGGGTAAGACCGTAGCTCTGGGGAGGCCAGAACTCCAGGAAGACACCTGTCCTGTAGGTAGGATGGCAGGACAGGGAGAGTAAGAGTGGAGGAGACCCCTAGGGTAGTTGGCAGTGTGGCCACACTGAGTGGCTGTCCACAGCTCGGAGGTGGGATATAAACCAGCGGCTGGCTCGGGGTTAGTACTGTCCCTGGCTGAAAAGACAAGGGGACTTTTTGCATAGCTGGTGCCTGAGCTGCAGGAAAACACACTCGACTCAAACTAAAGGAGGCTGGGATGGGTGCAGAGGTGGGGATGGCAGTTGGCGTGGCAGCCGGCATGGGCGTGGGGGCTGGTGTGAAGATGGGGGCGGGGGTAGGTGCAGGCACCGGCGTAGGAGCAAAGGCTGGGATGAGAGTGGGGGTAGAAGGCGGGCCAGAGGATGGGGTTGGGGTGGGCATTGGCACCGCTGGGGGGGCAGGAGCTGCTGGAGGTGTGGATGCTGGCATGGGAGCCAGAACTGGAGTAGGAACAGGTGCAAGAACCAGGGTTGGAGCTGAAGGGGGTACAGGAGCCTGAATCAGAGCCAAGGGGGGAGCTGAAACAGGGACTGACAGTGGGGCAGGGGCTGGAGCTGACAGGGAAACAGTGCCTGAGGGCGGAGCAGAAGCTGGCACGGGTACCAGGACCGAAGCTGACACTGAAAGGGGGGTCGAGTCAGAGATGAGTGTGGGCACTGAGGGTGGCGCCTGGGCCAGAGCCGGGACCGGTGCTAAGGGAGGAGATGGAGCTGGAACGGAAGTGGCCACCTGGACAGGAACTAACCCGGAATGGGACACTGGGGCTGGGACAGACAGGGGAACCTGGAATGGATCCGGAACAGATGGGGGAACTGAGGCCGAACCAGGAGCAGGGGGACAGATGGGAGCCTGCAGCGGACTGAAGTTGGTGGTAACCAGAGGCAGGCTTCCCTCCACGGGGACTCCAGTTCCCAGAGTTGCCAAAATGAAAGTATTCTTTTCCCCAACACTGTGTCGAGAGTCCAAAGCCTTTACCCCAGCTGCAGAGCAGTCCACCTGTTTGCTCATTTGAGTGCCGAGGGGAGTCCAGGAGCCGTCAGCCCTGCTGTTGCTGGCCTCAGTGCTGTCAGGAGCAGGAACCTGGAGCCCGTCTCCTGGGCTGCTCAGTGGCACCAAGATGCCCTCTGCCTCTGCCCCATTCCCAGCATAGTCCATTTGTGACTGGGGGTCGTCAGGCTTGTCTTCTGATTTGTGCCCAAGTTTGTCTGTTGCACTGCCATCTGGGTCTGCCCCCCGGGCATTGCTGCCACTCCCAACTGCTGTGAGCTCCACCTGCAACGACAGAGCAGAATGTCCATCTTTACTAGCTCTCTGTGGAAGGTGCAAGTGTCCCAAGGCAGCAGACAGGCAACTGGGGGTCCTCTTTGCAACTCGACCATGCAGGTCTAGGCAAAGCAAAGAGCAGCTGGCCAATTTCAGTCCCACCTACAGCAACCCCTGAGCACTATACTGTGCCTTTCAGTCCCCATTCTTAGGGTACCAGGCCAGGGTACACTGCCCAGGCAGCTGATTTCCACCCTTTGGTGGGCAACATGTGACTCTACAAATGTTACCTTGGAAAAACTGCTGCTGACACAAAACTCCTGAGATCCAAAGTGCTGGCAGTCACCTGTCGTGGACTCTTCATCAGAAAGAGGTGCTCGTCTAGTATGGGAGACACAACCAGAAAAGGGACATTAAGCCTAGTCTTTGGGCCACTGCCACCATCTCCAAAATCCCTGTCTACCTGGTGCCCACTAAACCTTCTTGTCTCCCTTCTTTCAGTGGTTTGAGAGAAATCACAAGGAACTAGAGAGTCCAGTCATAAACTAGAACCTCCCTGCCCAGCTTTGAAAGTTGCTGATACAATTCTTCTCTATGAGCCATGTATCCTGTCTGCTTGGGTTCTCACCAGGAGTATGGAGGATACCCCAGCACCATTGCCCTGTTCCCCATAGTGTATCCATCAAGGTGACCATCCAGGAGGTATCAGGCGTTGCCAAAAGGGGAGAAGTGACTCACTAAGACCTCAAAAGGCACACTAAGGGTTTTTTCTTTAAATGCAATCTTACTTTAAGGGAGGCTGACTGCAGTACCATAAGGGCAATCCTGTTCTAAAATATATAAACACCTCCACTGTTCTTGACCTGAATCATCACCTATTTATCCAATGGGCTGGCCCAGAGCAGGCACACAGAACACATTTATTAGGGCCTTATGACTGCAGGCCATCAGGTCCCTGGGTAGAGAGGGGCACTTCACAGGCTTGACTTCTTGCCCTCCAGGGGACCTTTCACCTTTTTCTAGTGTACTACTGGGTTCCAGTCAGCATCCTCTCCCCTAGCTTTCTTTCCCCTGCTAACTCTCCAACTCACCCCTTGACCTCACCAGCACCACCAGGTTCGCTTTTGTCCTTAAGGGAAGCCCTCAAAGTCACAAACCCCAAATTCAAGTTGGCATATCACAGAGAAAGGGGCTTAAGGCCAGACAGCGGAATCCCAAAGGAGGAAAAGTCAACTGTCGTCTTGCCCACCTGCTCAAAAATTCTCCAGATTTTGGGTAAGAACCTTAGAAAGCAATACCCACCCCCTCCCAAAACAAAAGATAAAAGCAACAGGTCATATTGGAAGGGCGACATTGAAGAGAGGACAGACACCCACTGGGAGTTTTCTATTTTGAGTGCAGAAAAAAGGTGCCACTCTCTGCCCCTGGGACGACACTGAGGGGGCACGAGCTATGGTGTGAGTAGCCCAGTGAAAGCTCTGGACTAGAGACTAAAACTCCAGTAGACAGGCAGCAGTTCCCAGGGGGCAAAGCACAGGGCTGCTCTGTGTCCATGTGGGGACACCCTTTGGGTTTGCCACCTTTCTCTGGAACCTTTCTCTGAGCTCTGCAACAGCCCCTGAAGAAGTCAGTTACCCACACTAGTCATTCTAGAGAAACGGCAATTAGTGTACCCAAAGACAACCCCCACAAGAATGGGGAGGGCCTTGCTAACTCCCTCCTACTGAAATAGGGCTCCTTCAATGGACTCCAAAATTGTACCTGGGGCAAGAGAAGCAAAAAAGGCAAAATCCCCTGCCCATCGTTTCGGAGTTCCAAAAGGGGCTGAGAGGGAAAGACTCGTTTCCTTTAAAAGGCATCTAGGCTGGTAGAAGTGGGAGGAGAAATGTTAGAAATGACTGTTGGTGACAAACAGAAATGATGGTAGGGATAGACAAGAGCTGTAGACGCAATCGGGGGGCCAGAAGGGAGGGCCTGAGGGAAAGGGAAAACATACTTTGACATCAATTCCTGAGAGACCAGAAAAGCAAGACCTACACCCAGCCTTGGGCCAGGGGAGTAGCGTGTTCTAACTAGACTGGCCAGGGATGGTTTTAGTCAGAGGACGGTGGTGAGGGGAGGCAAGCAGCAGCATCCCCCTTTGCCAACCCCACGTGAACCACAGAGGGCAGACATTGTTTATTTACGTACTTTACCTTCGGAGCATACGAAGAGTCAGCAGCACACTGGACCCCCTTGCTGGGCTCCCACCCCGCAAACAAGCACCTTGTAAGCAGAAACTCGGCCCTGGAAAACAGCCACTTAGAGAACAACTGGACCAGAGACTCCAGGCAGCAGCAGTAGTGGAAACACAGCAGTCTGGCTACTCCTGTCATCCCCACACCTGAGTGCCAGCCCCTGAAGTGCCGGGGAAAGGCCAGGCAGCCATTTTCCTCAGATTCTCTGAGGAGAGGGGTGTGCAAAACTATGCAGACATTAAATTGCTCCACTGAGGGAAGAGATTGGGACAAAAATAGCTTGCAAAGGAGAGGTGCACTAGGACAGCTGGGTCAACCCAGCAAGTTAAGAGGGGATAGGATGGTGGGGAGGATGGAACAGGGGTCAAAACAGGCTTCAATCAGGACTGAAAAATCAATCCTGCTGTTTCTTCCCAACAGAGATGACCCTGGACTATTATGCTCAAGCTTCTGTTGAACTTAAACCAGAAATGGCCATAACCTTTCAGGGCCGTTTTCCTGATTATTAAGGATTAGTACCACTGTCAAACTGGACTCTGCCAGCTCCTGTCACACCCTGAGTACATGTCAGGCATCAGGCTCCCTGTCTTCCTCCCTGCTTTCCCTGCTTCCAGCACCACCATATCCTAAGATTATTTTTGTTCTAGCCAGCACCTTCCCCAAACACACCATGTGGGATATACAGCCTCAAACTCCTATAAATCCTTCAAGTTCAAATGTCATAGCTCTGAGAAGCCTACCCCAGGAAATTTGTCATTCTTGCATCTAAACTCTCAAGGACCTATACATGTAATTCTGTGACACCACTAATGTCCCATGACTACTGGTTTGGGCTTAATACATATGTACTGAGTAAAGGAATGAATGGGTACAGGAAAGGGAAGCAAGGAAGAAAGATTTAGCTGTAAGTTAGATCAGAGTCAGACACCTGGGGCCAGCAATTCCCTGTTCCTTCAATTCCCAACTGCAGTTAAGGAAGTGGGGCAAGCTGCTCAAATATAACCTTAAGAATTAACCCCCAGGTATTGTTTTATACCCGAAAGTTCTAAGTTCTAGAAGTTGTAAAGGGCTGAGGAAGATACTTTTAAATAAGGTAAGATTACATTTTGGAAATCAGTAGTCGCACAGCCTGGGCTATAGCGGAAAGACAACAAGAAAGGGTAGATGAGATCAGAAGTGACAGTGCTTAAAAGGTCATCTTGACTGCTAGGCATATTTGGGAATTTAATGACCCAAGGAAGGTCCATAAAGAGGGAAAATCAGGTTCCAGGCCTCCTTCCTGTTCCTTTCTCAGTGGGGATTTACAACAGACAGTGAACTAACGTAACTTGACCACTGCTTTTTTTTGAAGTCAGTAGTCCATATTTCTAGTTGCCAATGAATCCTTACACCAATCAGCACCACCACACTGCCTTCCCGAGATTGTCTCTTACTAATTATCTATAGACATACCTCAGATGCAATGTAAAATGTCTTATTTTTATGCAGCTTCTGTGAAGAATTTTATCTTATTTTCCTAAATTTTTTCTTATTTTTCTAAAATTAAATTCCCTTTGAGTCCATCTTTAACCCATTGCTCAGTACAGAGAATATTAAGCTATCAGGTGCTAATGGCTTAGAAAAAGAAAAGGTCTATTCTAACCTGAAGCTCCAATAAGCACACACTTCTTAAATTACGAACAAAGAAAAAAAGTAAGTAAATATAAAGACATTCATTTTTCTTCTCTTCAAAATTATCAACTCTCCCTCACATGCAAACACATGCATGCACATGTGTGCACGTGCACACACACACACGCACAGGAACACATTTCTAAGATTTATCCAAGAAATACAAGATCTTGAGTCCTAGGAAAAGCCATGGTGCTCTGTGTTCTAGGTGACTGATCTAACGTATATGGAACTAGGCATCTGATGGGCTGAAACAACAGTTAACCACCAGCAAGCACTGGGGCATCATGCCCACTCTAAAAAAGAGGCATTGCAACCATCACACACAGCTCTTTAGCCAAGGGTTATGAAAGTCAAATATAAAATTTGAAGGTCATTTTGAGTGTCCTTCATATGAGGCATGACCAGGAAATGGCATAGCTTGGTCAACCAATATCTGGTGAACAGATAATTAAAAACACACATTTCATGCAGGCATCACCAACTCTCCATTTTATATCAAAACATTAAGCAATTTGATCTTCCTTTGATAGTTCTTAAGAATCTCACTGAGAATCTTCATTAGTCTCATCAGGCAGGAAAGAGCTGATCACCAGAATACCCACTAACAGTTCCCAATAAAACTGAATGATAAAACTGCCTTTCTTCCAGGCTTATATCAAGGACCAAAAAATACCTTACACTTATCCTTAAGCGGCACATGTGGATGCAGCAAATTAAAATTGCCATTGCCCCTTACTCCATAATCTGACAGATCTTAATAAGAGGATAAAAACTAGTTGGCAAAAGGTCATCTGTTGGCCTCACTTTCATCTAAATAGGGACAGCCTGGCAGAGCAGGCCATTCACACAGCTCCTAGCCCCATCCCACTCAGGAAAATGAGAAACAACCAAGAGCCTCCTCCCTCCCCAGGGGCATGCCCCAGGCCAAGCTGCAACCAGCCCTGTGATGAGCAGGCCCCACTCACTGGAAGTCTGCCATTCCCTACTTCCTGGCTCCTCACCTCTCCTCGTTGATGCCACACATGCGAATCCGGTCAGAACTGGCCCAGTCGTGCACGCCGCTGTAGCGTGGTGCTGTAGAGATCATGACAGCCACTCACCACCAGATAGGACCTGCTGTGGCCACACCCCCTGGGGAAAAAGAACCCCCAAAGTCAAAACTTGTAACAGGGACATCTCTTTTCACCACCTTTACACAGAAATACTTAAATAAAGGTAATTAGCACACCAAAATATAAAAGCGGTCTCTCACAAGCCACCCTGCTAGAGAAATTAAGGCCCAATGGAGGGAAGGAGCACCTGTATTCCAGGAACCCATAGGCTTCAGGATGGAGGGAAAGACACCGTTAATCACCTAGAGTGGTTTTTAAATTATCTTAAAGACAGATATGCTTGAGTTTTTGAGGAAATTCAATATATTTCAGACAAATGAGATGACAGTATATTTTTCTATACACATTTAGCCCAACCAACTACAATTAAAGGGTCATTCCCATATGTGAACAGTGTTTTGAAGGACTTCTGGAGATCACTCTCTCATCAGGTCTCTAATCCATGGGTACTGAAGTATCTGAGTGATGGAGCCAATTGAAGTTCTCCAGAGGACACACTTTTTTTATAAGTCCTTCAGAAATATTCTGATTTCATGTTGGGTGTTACAGAGATATAATGTATATTATCAAACCTGGTTAAAAGCTCCCTTCAAATCAGACACTATACTCTTTACACCACTGGCTATAAACAAACAAACATAAAACCACGTTTCATCAAGAACTAAGTTTCTGTTCTTGTCTCTTCCTATCAGTCAGTCATCCCCATGACCTAACACTCCCTTTCCAAGCCAAAGTCCAGTTCTCAATGGGTTGTTAAACCCCTGAACAGTCAATTGATCCTCTAGAGAAAATGAAGCATCAAGAAAAAGAAATCTGCTTAATGTGCTGCCTTGAGACCCTTAAATTCTTGGGTTCACTTACTAGTTAACATCAAAGCTCAACTGAATGGATCCTACAGTAATCAAAATGTTATGCAGTTCTCCATTTTCCAAAGAAGTCAGTCACAGTAAGATATAGTCACATCAGGGAATTGCTTCATTTACTCTTTATATAATGTGAAAAGACTGTCCATATTCAATGCAGAATCACTTATTCATTCAACAAATATCTACTGTTCTGGGTGCTAGGAATTCAACAATTAACAACAACAACAACAAAATACCAAATCCCTGCTTCATGGAGCTTGCATCCTAAAGAGATGAGACAGACAATAAACATGTTAAATAATTCTATTAGAGTAGTTAGAAGGTAGTATAATACAGGCTGAAGGAACTGGGGTGTGGGTGGGGAGAATGGATTACAATTTGAAATTGGGTGAATGCAGTAGGCCTAGCTGAGAAGTAGACAACTAAGCAACTTTAGGAAGCAAAAGGGTGAGCCATATTCCAGGCAGAAAGAACATCCTATGCAAAGGTCCTAAGGCAGGAGGCTACCTATTAGGGTCACAGAATAGCCAGGGCAGGCACTGGGTGGTGCAGCAAAGCAAGCAAGGGAGAAGGAGAGCGTTGACACCTGACATACCCCTCCCAATCCCTTGGTTCTCACCCTATCGCCCTTTCTCTACAGCACAAGGTACTACTGACTAGTACCCTGTGCCCACCCCTCTCCTGGCTTTCCTGAACAGAGGTCTACTGACTTCTTAGGGGACCCTTTACTCCCTCCACAAACCTGGTCTTCATCTTGCTCAGTCTCTCCACACCTCTGCCACCTTCTCTCATGTTGTCCCCTCCCTTCCTCCTTTGTCTTTCTCTTTCTCCCCTTCCTTCTCTCTTTCCTATTCCCCTTTATTCTTCCTCTTAACTTTCTTCCCTCCTGTCTCCCTCATGCCCTCTCCTCCACCCTCACCTCTGTCTCCCTCTGCAAAGTCCCTGCTCTCCAGTGTACTCCCCTTACCAACTTCTCTTGCCTCATCCTCACCTCTCTTTAGTTTGTCTTTCAATTCTGCCTCAGGCTCCACTCTCTCCTTGTCCTTCCTTTCCTCCAGCCCCTGCCTCCTTCTGCCCTCTACACTTTGTCCTAATGCTTCAATCTTCAGTTTCCCTCATTCATCCTTCTGTCTCTCGAGCTCAGCCTGGCTCTTGCTTCACCCCCACCTCTCTCCTGCATGTAGATATCAGTCCTGCCCCCCCCCGCTATCAGCTCTGAGCTCCCACTGTTTGAACTCACCCACTACTACACTGACAACTCCCAAATTTGTATCTCTAGCCCTGACCTTTCTTTTCAGACCAGAATTTCCAGCTGCCAGCATCTTGCCGTTAATTTGCATGTCCACTGTTCCCCTTCAACTCCATGTGTCTCAAGCTGAACTCATAAGTCTGCTCTCCATCTCCCTACCCCACCCCAACCCCAGCAGACTTCCTATCTTAGTTAATAGCACTACTAATCCCTAGTCTGGAAATGTCAGCTTTGACATATTCAACTCCTATCCCCCCACTGCCAATATCCAATCAGGAGTCAAGCTTTCATGATCCCATCTCTATTCTTGCTATTTATGCCCTCTTCCCATTCTTCTGGTGTGAACCCTCATCATCTCTCACCCAGAACATTACAATAGCCTCTTAATCGGTCCCTCTGACTCTAATCTCTTGATTCTACTATCAATTCATCTTCTAAATCACCAGCTCAATCATGTCACCCCTCTCCCTCTTCAACAGCTTTCAATAGATTTCCTTGGTCTTCAGAATCAAGCCCACAGTTAGTATAGCATCCAGGGACATCCATGACCAGGCCTCAAACCTCTCTGGTCTCCTCTTCTGCCACATTCTGCCATTACTCTGCCACCCTTGCCATCGCTCCTGACCCTCCCATGAACTGACCATCCAGTTTGGGGACTTAGATGTTTCCTTAGCTTCAGATGGTCTTTCCGGTGTCCCCTCTTTTCTTGTCACCCCTCAAAGCCTACATATCATTATATTATCTCCCCAAGCCCAAACCCCAGGCAATTAACTCACCTTCTCAAACAGTTCATCCCCACCTCTCCCACAGCACTGATTCTTATTCTCCACTGCAGTGTAGTTAGTCAGAGGCGTGGCTTGTCTATCTCCTCCACCAGATAATCAGCTACTTAAGGTAAGAAATACTGTCTTTTCATCTGAGGTTCCTCAGCAATATCTTATGTGTAGTGAGTACACAGAAAATGGGTGTTACATGGAACTGAAATCTAGAGGAGAATGGAGATGATGACCTTTGAGAAATTTCAAGAAGCAAAATCAACAAAACAAAGTATTCACCACACTTACATACAATAGAAAAAAATGTGGTACTTGAATGAAAAACTTTTCAAACACACATTGGTGTTGTCTCACTCCAATCCAGAGCATGATTTTTTTTTTTAATTTTAGAAATTTATTTATTTTTGCATACAAGAGCTGGGGTATAGGCCAGAAGTATAGGGGGTGAGAGGATTCACCAGAGACAGAGTGGGGAGCAGAACAGGCAGATCTGCTGAAATGCATTGCTGAGGGAAGCAGCGGGGAGAGAGGAAAGGTCTTCTGCACCATGTGGGTCACCTGCCTGGATGGGTGTTGAACTCATCGTGCTGCACTTTAACCCCTTGTGCCACCAGAGAGGTCTGACCAGTACATGGTCTCTAAGCTACTTTACTCTGTAAGTTTGCAGGAAACTGGTAAGGATATACCAACTCTGTCTCGTCCCTTAGCATTTAGATTGACTTCCCTCTCCACTATGAAAAAACTAGTTTTGTCTCCATTTCCAATTCAATTTTTTCACTCTATATAAATTTGTGCTTTTCATTTTTTTCTTGGAACCAGCTACATTATCTGTCTGGTTCCCCTGTTGATTAATGAATAAAATAAAATGTTAACATGTGTTCATTTTTATATTTTTATGAGAGTCATGATTTTACCTTTTCCTGAAAACTACTTTTTGACTATACTATGACAGTTCACCAAGACCCCATTCTATGCACATACAGATTAGTCAGATCTTGATTCTGAAAACATCTTAGAATACCCTAGTTTAAGAAGCAATAGCACAGCCTACTGGGTGATGTACCAGGTACTTTTTTGCACCCTTTTTCTCTATGAAGTACCTGAAGATTCATGCAGAGGAGGGCCTTTTGTCATAAGATGACGTTCAACAAAAACTATGAGTTTTTTAATTGTTACCTGAATATTTGCAAGCAACAGATATAAGCCAGTCTCTGTGGCTTTCACTCGGGGTTTATTTTTGTTCGGTTAAGAGGGAATTAGTAATTTCTGGACCTAGGACAGAAATCAGAGGGAAGCATCCTGCAGAAAGAATGGCATATAAAATATCACCTTTTAGATAAAAAAGCTTTTAGACTCTCCAAATAACAACAAAAAGGAAACCAAGTAAAAAATAAAACAATTACCACATGATACACACTTTAGGATTACCTAGCGAGAAAAATTGATACCGGGCATCTCTATTTCCACCTGATCCTGAAGATACAGCATCTGTTTAGATCTTTTCCCCCCACACTACAAATATGTCAAAGCAGCACCCCTTCCTATGTGAAACCTACTGCTACTAATTAGCAGTAGCCTTTATGGAGGAGGGGAGGGGAGAGGGAGGAAGTACAGGCAGGAGAGCTTGTAGCTAAGTGAGACCACTTACACTACATGGGAAGTGCAATCTGTGCTCCCAAGCCACAGAGTTAAGCCAAGGGACATTCCAAAGAGTTGGTGCAGTGACGCCAACACTCACATAAGAGGAGAAAGACCAAGATGGACAACTTATGCCAATGTTTCCAAGCCAGAATCATGTACTAACATATTCAAAATACAGATTCATGTGTTCTGTCTTGGCAATTCTGATCAACTAGGCCTCGTTTTTTTGTTTTGTCATTATCATGTGCAATCAAATTGAACTACATTTCAGGAGCAGTGAGAAAAAAGGCAAACTTTATAGACACACCTTCCTTGGTAGGTTCTACAGGTGCACACACCTGTGTACCCACTTGCCTTCGCTCACTGCCTACACACATACATCGTGCCCCTTCTCTGATGAGAACCATTACATCAAAGGCAAAAGGCAGTTTCTAAAAGGAACTTAGAAGAAACCTGGTAATCCCATGTGACCCAGGAAACAGGCACA